GACTAGAGGAGCTTGTGTGTGTAACATACAATTGAATACACTCCCAGATTAAATATGCCCATTTTTGACACAAATGTTAGTTTTATTAAATGATGAACTTACTGGTATTACAGTAGTACATATAACTGTTGCACTCTAGTGACTCTGTGAAGCTCTACTGCATTCTTGACTGATTTATTCTTCTTCATGAAACATTGTCCCGACAACCTCCAAATGACAAGCAGTCAAAACACATCTCCACTGAGGGAAAATGACCCCAGTTTCCAGTCATGTCTGCCCTTGTCGGGGCATCCAGGTACAGGAGAGTTGTTTTAATTGGATGCTTTCAAACTCCATGTATAATACCTTGTAAATGCCTCAAATCAAACAGGTGCAGGAATTAAGCAAATGTACTATAGTGAGTCATTTGTAAGCTGAGCAGTTGTTAAAGCTTCTACTGTTCAAACGTTGCCATCTTGTGGACAATCGTAAGCCTCCTGGTTTGAATGAAGTCAACATAAGCATGTGGTAATACATGTTCAGTAAACAAGTTAAATAACTACACGGCGAGTTGATTTTATAGTATATAGGGAGAAGAAGCAGAATATTTTTGGTTTTAGGCTGAATTATAACTAATCTCCATTATGAATGAGGATAGTTTCTGATCATAATCTGTCATTTTGAGTTTTTCATGCAGGCTGCACATGAAAATAGTCTCCTACACCTATCTCCTACATTACCTTCTGATAGAAAACACGCAGTGAAACTCTAGGATTTGAAAAGCCTGACAGATCTATGGACTCAACCTACTTGACTCAGCTTGAGGAAGGTTGTTGTGGGTTAAACACCCAGGAAACAGCAAAAAACATTCTGACTAGTAAAAACTTACCGTTAGCATTAGCAATGCTGCCACACAGAAAAACTCCTTTAACTTGCATTTTTGTGGACATAAAACATCCATGTTGCAAGTAAGTGGTAGAGTTGCATTGCTGTAATCCAATCCAAAGCAGAATGTCAAACTATCAGGAAACATGATTCTGAATCCTGCCTTGTTGTTCCCATTCTCCGCAGCAGCAGACTTGTCCATGCTGATCCAATCATGTCTGGGCTTTTTTTGCCCAGAGTACAACTTGCAAGGCATTAATTTCCACCAGAGACCTCTGCAAATGTATTAAACGAAGGAACTACATCGTTAACCCTCTGAGGCAGGCGTTGCAGATTTGCAACGTTAAGACCTACCTACCTGGTCACTCCACATACGTATTTCATGAGCATTTTTTTACTCAGAAGTACCCCTGAAGGACTTAGTTGTTCGTCATTTTATCAAAACTTAATTTGAGCCTGAGAAGGTTAAACTGCTTTTGGTTGCTTTTAGATCCCTTAATCTGTCCAGCTATCCAGTTCTTGATTCATCCCACCATCACCATACTTTCTGACTCTTCAAATATTATAGAACCTCTGATTTCCTCTGGACGATTTTCTCTGGTTCAGGAAAAACAGATTTTAAGCTCAAATTAAAGCAGCAACACTTGCAGTTTGATTTGCTTTATAGTGATAAACACCAGACAGAATACCAAATAGAACAGATATAATGAGAAGGAAATCTCAGATAAGAACCCTAAAGGACAGAAACTGGACCATCTGCACCTGTTTCAGTGATCTCTAGTGTATAAAAAACTTGGATTTATGAGTTCTGAGTTGCTGACTCAAGATGGAGCCAAAGCCTTGTTTTAAATCTCTGAGTGTTTAACTTTACTGACATTTACTGCTAGAAAACACCTCCATCACTTCTTCTCACCTCACCGACCAAATGCTGACAGTAGGATTTATGATCACAACGCATCAGATGTTTATTAGAGAAGAGTTTAGGGGTCTTGTTACCCTGATGGCTCAAGATGAAGTCAAACTTTAAAAGTAATTAACTCTAAAATGAGCGTCTCAGCACTGTGGAATCCCTAAATGTTGACACCAAATTACACATCAGCCTCTGCATGGCTGTAAAACGCTCAACCAGACAATCCAACAACCCCCGCTTACTGGTCTCCCTGTAACCCAGTCAGCTTTATACACACTGTACTTACAAGTTTTTCTATAGGAAGCATTAATCATATGAAATGTTGCATTTTATTATAGGCTGAAATGACACTGTTCATGTAAAATCATGTACCACCTGTAACCTGTAGCTTCTCCACTAGAGGGCAGAATACACATATAGGACTATATTCAACAGGTTTTTGAGATAAGTACTAATCCTGTTAAAGAGATAGAGCACTTAGAATATTAAATATGATTTTATCGGTGATGACAGGTTAAGGCGAACATTTGTCATGTAATTATTTAGATAATCAATGCTTTTATGTTTTCAAATACTTTGCTTTCACTTTAAGATTAATTACAGAAAATGTTGAAAATGTTCCTTAGAGAAATAAAGTCTTACTATCATACGAGCTCCCTATATAAAGCTTAGCCCATTAGTTCTTTAGATAATGAAATAGCTAATTTTTGTTTTACTCTTTCTCTGTTTACTTCCTCTTTGGTCCTCCTAGCTGGTTTGTCTTGTCTAAATAATAATAAATAATGTAAATTATGCACTGTAAACATCCTTTAAATGTATTTTTTGTATAAATAACTGATATTTTAGTGCTTAGAGGTTTGTTTGTTTTTTTAATAGCAACAATCTGTTGTATAACTGGCTCCATTGTGGCTAGCTGCTAGCTCACTGGTCTGGTCAGAACTATTCTCCAAACCGTGGCTAATAAAACATGAATTGCTCATAACTGTGCCCCTAAACACTACTAAAGGCCCACAAAACAAGAACTTTTAGGTAAAGTGATTAAAACACTGGCTTTATTACAATAACTAACAATAAATAGTTATGTGTCTTGATATATGAGGATTCTATTTAAAGAAACTCCAATAAGATGACAAAAAATAAATAAAGATTAAAACGTGAAGGGAATTATAATGTAACTACAGTGGCCAGCTATTTCACAGCTGCTTTATTGTGATGGTGATGATGGTGCACATAAACTTGGTCTTGTCCTAGAGGGCCACAGAAATCCAGGATGTTTAAGTCGTTTCTCTGCTCCGACACACCTGATTTCAATCAGCAGGTGATTAACAGGCTTCTGCATAGCTTGATGAGCTGATGAAGAGGTAATGCAACTACTGTGTTTGAGCAAGGAAACACCTAAAATATCCTGGATGCCCTCTAGGACTAGTGTTTGTCTAGGACTGGCCATGTAAGTAGCAAAGCTAATGTAAAGATAATATTATAAGTATAATGATTTAAAGGTGCCATTATGACTTTTAGAAACATTTTATAATAGTTCTATGGTTAATATTAAACATGTTTATTAAGTTCTTGGCATAAATCTCTCACCAGCAATTATTCTGGACAGTTTCTGTACGTTCCAGAAAGAGCTGTTTTAGTGCTCTGTCTAGAGCAGGTCTTGCCCACCCACCCCCTTACTCAGGCTGCTACAGGCTGAGAAGCTCTGATCTCCAGGAGGGTTTCAGGGTAGAGCTGCTGCTCCTCCAGCCTGGAAAGGTGAGGGAGGTTGTATACCAATTTCCCTGTTTGTGATGCCACAAACTGAGACTTTTCAAAATGCCATGTTTTAGGCAGAAAATGTATATATGTTTTTTTCACATTTGGAGTGTTTGTAGAGACAGTAGAAATCCACATGCATGGCACAACGGGATGCAAAAGGGGAATTTTCATTATTTGTCCCCTGAATTGTTTCACATCAGCAAACACATTTCCATATCAGACAAAGATCATTTGAGCAAACACACCATTTAGTTTTCAAATGATTATTTTATTCATTAAGATGGAAAAGTCAAACCAACCTGATGTCATGTGAAACAGTGTTTACTCTCCTTGTTGATTGATGAATGGAATATGATGAGCTACATTATTTTAAAAAGAACAAGAATAAAAGAACCAAGAGCACCTAAAGCACTGCAGGAAAATTAAAGTCAGAGGTCATGATTCAACAAAAAGAATGAGATGGAACCAAAATTATATCATGACATAAATCTAACGACGTTGGTGAACCAAAAGAACAAAAAGCTCCACTTCCTGCTTTCTTGTTGTTGTGCATCCTTAAAATCTAAACTAAAATCAGCAGTGCAGTTGAGAAAAGTAGAAAGCCAAACATGGTGGAGGTAGTGTGATGGTCTGGGGCTGCTTGATGCTTCAGGAGCTGGAACCATGAACTCTGCGCTTTGCCAGAAAATGCAAAACCTTTGACCTCAAACAGGCCTTTCATTTTGGAAAACACTCCACTGTGGCTGAATTCAGATGTTCTGCAAAGAACAGAAAACACATTTCCTCCTAGGAGATGTTGGAGATTCATCAGTTATCAACAAACAAGGACGTAACAACCAGTTATTGGGTTTAAGACTCAGTAATTCACAATCAAAATCTCTAAGTTGAAATAAAAATAAAGGCTGATTCAAATTTTTTGCCTAAAAATAAAAAATAAAAACTAAATGAGGTAATAAATCAAAATGTACAACTCCATCCATTACTTTACATGTAATATTATTTAGACCCTAAAGATGATGTTCGGCCAAGTGATAAAAAACAGAATTTCACTCCAAATGAGGCAGTTTTCACTGAACGGCTCCATTAACGTAAAATGCAATTATTTATTGTAAGAATTAAGTAATGAAAAGTAGCGAATGCATTAGCTGTCCAGTAATCGATAACAGGTGCTAGAATGGCAGGTAACTGAGAGCAACAGCCTATTAGACCCATGTTTAATGGAGTGATGGATGAATGAAGGCTCTGGGGGAAAAAGGGAGTGATAGAGAGAAAGGCAGACATTTCCATCATGCCCTACCCCCTCATCAGTCTGCGAGGACCAGAGGATTATGGAAATGTAAAAATGCATAAGAGAGAGAGAAAGACTGGCTGTCAGAGATGGGGAGAGAGAGAGAGGGAGGAGAGAGAGGGAGGGGGGCATGGTGCGATGCTATTGGTGGACGTTTAGAACATCAACCGTGGTGAAAACATTTCTCTCACAGTCTAAGAAATCCAAGCAGAGACAGACTCAGGAAACACTCCGCTAATCTCTGGAAGGGATTTTGGATCGAGGGGGTGCCAGATAGAGAGAGGAGAGGGGGGGCGATCGATAGCTGGTATCTAACTTGTGACTCCTGATGGTCGTAGCAGTCTCGCTGAACAACAGGAGAGCTTTTAAAATAACTGCGTGTCAACATGTAGACAAGCTTTAGGGTTCTGGTTAAACAACCTTCCCTCATCTTCTCTTTTTGCCACCAGAATTGAATCTTTTAATCTGCATGTCAGAGAAATCCAAAGGTTTTTTCGTTGTTGATTTTGGAGAAATCTAAGGAATGCGTCTGAGAAACAGGTACAGAGCAGACAACCCTGACATGGTGTCGACCCAAACTGACAGAGACCAGGACAGAGTGGACTGTTCAGACACGTCTCCGACCAGACACAGGTACTCTCTGCTCGATATTAAGGTCAGCTAAAAGAAGAAGCAAAAACGGTCTAATGAAACTCTCGGCAGTGTTGTTCTCTCGTCTTTAAAAACTAATTTGCTTTGGCAGAACGCAAGTGTCCTGTGAGCAAAGCAATACCTTTGACAACACTGTGAATAAAGCTAATTCACCAACCGTCCGTGTTTCTAAATGTGTTAAATGGAACATTTAGTCAACAGTGTTTTCGCCTCAGAGCAACAGATGAACTGTAAGCCATAAAACTACTCGAGTACTCAAAGCCATAACCGTCGTAGATCCTGTTTTTAACAATCTTATTGTCAGCGGGAAATCTGAGCTCCTGTTGTCAGCGTCTCCATTTACCTTGACAGACCAATGTACAGGTTCTGTCTGAAAAGAAAGCACAGGGGGGAGGAGGGAGCCGTGGACAATTTTTGCCTGTGAGAGGCAGGAAAGAGGAGCATCAGGCCAACAGCAGGCGACGGTGGCAGCAAACAGATTTCTAAATGCTTCCTAAACCCCAGTGAGACCGACAGCAGCCGTCTTGCTGGCAGCTGCACAAAGGGAAACAGGCGGTGGGAGCAGCACAGCCACAACCCGTTATTGATTGTTTCTGTAAGTGAGAGTCCTACCTGCCTGGACGCCACAGACTCAGATCACATCTGAAGTGGAAGCAGACATCCAGCTCCACTTCAGAGGACAAAGAGGAAGAAGACACAGTTTCGAGGCGGGGAGTCGAGGGGAAACTTCCTCTCAGTTGGTCGTCAGGCTGGCCGACGCAGCCATGGCGTTCACCTTCGCGGCCTTTTGCTACATGCTCACCTTGGTGCTGTGTGCTGGCCTCATCTTCTTTGTGATATGGCAGGTGAGTGATGCCGTGCACACAGAAACCAGGGTCTGTGAACTCTCATGCCATCCCACACAGACAGGAAGACACACACACTCATTGTTTTGGACAGATGTTGCTCAGGCCCTTTTAGTAAATCCATTCTACCAGTCCATCAATCACAGCTGACGTTGTAAAACCAGTAGGATATTAGTCGCATCCTAATTTATTTTTATTTATTCCCACCTGGTTGCTTGGTCACTGGTGTAAATATCTGACCTCTTTACACTTCCAGCTGGGTCTGCCCCTCACATTTACGAGAAGCCACTGATCCCAGAGACGAGACAGTTCCTCAAACAATGCCCTCAGATAGGGGAAGGTAGCAGAGCACACCATTTTGGGTGGAATTTGCACAAACATCACAGGAGGCCTGAGCACTTTGTTTGCAAGTTGCACTCTGCAAACACCAAAAGCTTTACTGCCCTCTGCTCACAGGCAGTGAAAACCTGAAATATGAAACGCATCATTAAGACTTGAAATGACTAACAGACTAATCGACCAAGTGGGTGAGACTAAAATGTGAGTCACTCAGCATGTCTGTGTGTGAAAGAGACAGCGAGAAGCGTGCGTCTGGCTCGCCACTCGACCATGTGATTAAAACCCTCATCAAGCTGGGAATTCGTTCCCCCCCCCCCCCCCCCCCCCCCCCCCCCAGGTCCATCTCACCCCAAGGATGCTGCACTCGCTCTATATGCAGCTCGCAACCAATCATAGTGGTGTTTCAAGCTGAGGGTGACTATGGCGCCCACTGAGGGACTCACCATGTTGCCATGGAAACTGCATCTGTTTACAAGAGAGCTTAGTGTGAAAGAAGATGGGGGGAGCCATATGGACTCAAACAGGGAAATTACCAGGACTGCTTCTGTTAAAGACTTGAAGGGGGGCCCTTTTCATGCAGTCAGTCATCACTGATGTTCCCAAAAATAACGCCACTTATTGATTTTCAACGAGCCATCAGTGTGACGGCTAGCTATTAAAAAAGTTGAACTGATTATTAGCGCACCAGGTTGCCACTATACTGAGGATCTGTGGTATTTTCATGAAGCTTTTAGTATGGGAGGCAGTGCACTGCAGTGAACTGTCAGAGTGATTTTATTCCAGGATCTGAAAAAAGGATGTTGTTTCTACTTACTTAAATCATCAGATTCTGAGTCAATCATTCATTTTCTGCAACTTGCTGATGATGACGCAACAATTTAACCAACAGTACCGCCACGCAGCCCTGCAGCTATGATTGACAGTTTAAATAGTCTACTTCATAACATTTTGAAAATGGGACTTTTTACCCTTTAAAGAGCGGGTGAGACGTAATTTTTACGTATTATTTTTTAAATTGATCAGAAAATTGTGTCCTACACCTAATTCCTGCATTAGATTCTGATTCAGACTCAGTTCAGAAAAGCTTGACAGATCTACATCACACTGTCACTAAGCATTAATGGACTCACCCAACTTTACTCACAACCAGTTGCAGAACCTGGATGTTGTTGGTTTAGCGTCCAAGAAACAACAGAGAATGTCTCATCTAGTAGAAGTTAACTGTTAGGATTAGCAACACCACCACACAGCGGAACTCCTTCAGGCTTGTGTTTGTTGTGGAGATAAACATCCACGTTGCAAGTCAGTGGCAGAGTTGTGTTTCTGTGATCCAATCTGGAGTGAGATTTCCAAAAATCAGGAAATAAGACTCCAAAAGCTGCCGCCTGAAGCTCAGCTGGGATGTGGCTCACTTCTAGTTCCTTGAAATGGCGCACCGGTGTTTTCTCCTCCATGAGATAATGATAGTAACATTTATATGAATTTTAAAATGCGTATTTCAAAAATGGCACCAAGCCTAAAGGTTTGGCATCCCAAAAGGTGAGAATCAGTTTATGAGCTCAATGTTGTTTCTCATCATTAAAGGAGCTGGAGATTCCCAAGAGTGCCACATGGATGCTCTCACTAATTGCATGTGCACATTCACCACCACATCACCACGTGTGTTCCCACAACATGAACACCAAAGCTGCAGCTGTGCAGGATGCACAAAGTGCTGCCATCGATAGTATTGACCCACATGCTGAGACAAAACCGCTCTTATTACTGTCACAGTAGAGAGAGAGTGAGCTGCGAAGGAAAAATAACATTTTTTTTTGTCTCACCCAAGTCTGCCTTTTTTTTCAGATCATCGCTTTTGATGAACTCCGCACAGACTTCAAAAACCCCATTGATCAGAGCAATCCCACCAGAGCGGTAAGAACCCTGCTGCTTCTGCTTTCAAGAAGGATCAAACCTTTCACGAGCACACAGAGGACTCCCTTCGCTTGACTTTCAGGATGAGCATTTTGTTTTCTACAAACAAAACTAGGCTCAGACCAAATGGAGGCTTTCACTGATTTTCAAATGAGGTCATTCAAATATTGACTTCAGCTACATTTGTAATATTTTTATTTTTTCCAGCATGATATACGAGTTTACCTTTGCTATCGCTTCCTTTAACCTGAGTACCCAGGTGACATGCTCAGTTGTATCCAGACAGTGTTTTCTTGAGTGCTCATTTGCACGGAGATGGAAGGAATCAACAGATATGTTAACTTAATCAGTATAAGTGATCCATTCACATGAGAAACTGCTAATGTCAGTTTTAAAGGTCTACATGTGTGTGAGAAAAAAACAAGATCTCAAGATTTACTTTGAAATCTCAACATGGCCTCTGAAACAAAAAAAATCTACAGAATAAATATTTCAGTTTAAATTTAAGCTAACAAAAAATAAAATAAAATAAAATAAAATAAAATAAAACATTTATTTAAATAATCTTGTCACAGTTGGTTTGTTAGCAGCAGGTGAGCAGCTGGACATTTGTGTAAACAAAGATGGCAGAATGAGGGCAAAACAAACAGGAAATTAATGACACACAAGAAACGTAGGCCTCCTTTATTCATAATTATAACTCCACTTATGTTTTGGTGAAGAATTCGACAACACTGAAAAACACATTTTTACGTAAACTGCCTCTGTGCTTGGACATCTGGGTTTCCGTAGCAGCTCTTCTCTGCTTTTAGAATTGCACTTTCCATGGTCGTTTCTCAATACCCAAGAATGCTAGTACATTTCTAGCATACTTGTCAAGTACGTTTTTTGGCAAGTACAGCAAAAAATCCGCTCTACCAATTACAGGAGCATGAGGACAGCATTTGGAACAGTGCTACTTTTTGCTACAGTTTAAAAAGCGACTTGAAATAAAAATAAAAGTCTAGTTTGTCCCTAAATTAACAATATAACAATAGCATTTTGAGGTATCGTGAAGAGCCAGAAAAAAAACACCCAAACACACAGCAAAATATATGTACAGGTTACACACAAACACTCAATACAACAGACAACTTTATATATATTTTATTTAGATTTAATTATTTGTATTTTTGACATTATGAGATTTTCCCTTTGCCATGTTCCATTTGGAGTACAACGGTTTGCGGCACAATGCAGAGCCCTTGCTGACCCAAGTCCGCGGAAGGATGTACTGATGCATCCTCTATACAATAACTAGAACAAGGACACATCTGGGAACTTTGAACGTACTTTCCACATACGTATATTGAATTTGAACAGTACCTGGGCCAACTTTGATGATGTTTCCCAAGTACGCAAGTACACAAAGTTAGACAAGTATGCACATTGAGAAACAGTTCTGTTTTCTTCATATGAAGAAACTTGATAGAACATTAAGTTTAATTATGATTTGATCATTCAGTCAACCAGCCCTACTATGCGCAGCATACTTTCTTTATTAATATTTCATCAAATAGCCTCATCATGAGTCATTTAGCAAGCTAGCTAGCAGCTGTGAAATATCTCTTTCACAAGACAGTTAATGTTCTAGCAGTCATGTGAACCTTCATCTGAGCTGAAGGAGTGATGAGGAGTGGGAGAGGAAGCTGTGAAAACAGACCGTGGGTGTGTGGAGGCACGTCAGCTGCAGGAAGCAAACACAATAATGGCGCAACCTGTAAAATCTAGCATCAATGGGGTTTGAACATTACAAGCCCCTCGCTGGTGGGATTTGTGCTAAAGCATTGAATTTGAGCGTCTCAGAGACGTAAACATGATCTGCCAGGACGAGGTGATCCAGGTGTCTCCTAAATTCAATAAACTGGACAAACAGAACAGGAGCTACATGGAAAACAGGCAGTAAAAATAAACAGTTTGAATGTTCACTGAGAGAAACGCGTGTTCACTCAGAGGCTGCTGTGGAAAAACAGAGCAAAGCGGTAAACATTACAGGGAGAACACTGAGAAATGTCATTACATTACACTTGGATCCGTTTTTTCAAACCATTAATCGGACTCTGAGTGGGAAACTTTAATGGCTGAGTCCGAAATTATTCCTTTACTGAAAACAGCTGTTTCATTAAAAGTAACACCAATTTTGAGTTGATCAATAAAAATACCATTTAAAGCTGCAGAAAAATTACAGGATTGACCGTTGGGTACATCAAAGACGTTAGTGTTTGATCAAGAATCCATGTATTCGATTTCCAATCCTTCTATGGAAGTCTGGCAAATTCTTATTATGTGAAGTGCCTTGAGACGACTCTTGTCGTGATTTGGCGCTATATAAATAAACTTGAATTGAATTGAATTGAATTTGCTGTTTCATTTGTGTTAGATGTTGTGAAATGTCTACAGCCTTTGATGAACGTCCTGAGTTGCGCTTCTTTATTGGAACTGCTCACATTAAAATGGATGACCTAACACAGATAAAGACACCTCAGGGAAGCTGCAGACCATAAAACCCAAGCAGCGCAGCAATCTACAGGCCCAATAACCAACCAGATCATGTACAGCGGTGGCGGGTCAAGCTCTAGGCTTTATCAAATCAAAGCTTTGTGGTACAGGATTTTCTTTTGGGGGGGGGGGGGGGGGGGGGGGGCTCTCAATTACCAGACGAACAGAAAAAATACTTTGTAAAAGTATGAAGTGTGTATGACAACTAATAAATACAGATGAATTTTACACATGCTGGGAAAAAATACATCAACACTCTCCAGCTACATAAAAAAGTATAATAAAAACAAACTATTAATGACTTATCCAGGTGTGCAGGATAATTACTAGTCGGCGGGGGTATAATGGTAAAATCCATTATAGTTATTCTGCAACATTAACATAGAAAACTTCATACGTGTGCTGGTTAAAGGGATATCTTTTTGTTTTTTGAGAGGATATTTCTAACTTTAACTGAATGATTTTACAAACAGTATCTATAATCTATCTTTGTTCAGTTATGAGAAAATTTTCTAAATCTCAAATGAATGTTCTTTAGCAAACATATATTTTGCTAAATGCCCCATTTGGCTTTTATCCAACTAAATCTAAACATTGACGTCTTTAAAAAGTAAACATGAGATTGTAACGTAGTTAAAGCTTGAAGGAACCAAAGCGCCCTCTGGTGGCTGGCTGCAGTACAAGTCTTAAGCTCCGCCCCCTCCATGTAGAGACAGTTTCCAATGAAAAGGTAAAAATACACATATAATGTAAGTAGATCTTCTCTTGCTGCTAATAATTTTGCTTTTGCACAATTGGCAGATAATGTGTTATTTGATGCCTAAACAACATCCTGACTGTATGCAAGTAATAATATTGATATATTTGGGGCTTTCCTCTGGAAACTAGGGGCCATGCTTTTGATAGTATAGTTAATATTATATGTACAGTAAGTCAGTAATCCATGTTTAATTGCTCTCATCTGTGAATATGAGCATTACAGAAACAACTAAAGGAACCAAAATGCCCAAAAGTTCAGATTTCAGCATGTATCCACGCTCTTATGATGCATCAATATCTTCACCAACAGTGAAACAGTGTACTTGAATATCTGCTGCTATTTTTAGATCTAACGATTCAATTCAATTCAATTCAATTTTATTTATATAGCGTCAAATCACGACAAGAGTAATCTCAAGGCACTTCACATAATAAACATTCCAATTCAGGTCAGTTCATTAAGCCAATCAGAAAAAAATGTTTCCTATATAAGGAACCCAGCAAAATTGCATCAAGTCACTGACACTAGTCACGCCTAGTCAGTGACTTTACAGCAATCCTCATACTAAGCAAGCATATAGCGACAGTGGAGAGGAAAACTCCCTTTTAACAGGAAGAAACCTCCAGTATAAGCAGCCATCCACCACGACTAACTGGGGATCGAGAAGACAGAGCAGACACACACACACACACACACACACACACACACACACACACACACACACACACACACACACACACAAAGCAATGTGTCCATGTTTACACCATGATTGCTTAGTAAATATTCTATTTGGCGAGAGATAAACTTTATTGTATTTATCCTAGTGAATCTATTGTTAAACGGGTAAACTAGCAGTAGCACATCCAACGTCAAGGAATCAAAAGTTATTATCAGGAGAGGGAGAAAGTTTAAGTGGTTAGCAGCAGTGTGCTAGATGATGGACCCTCCATGAGCCCACCACAGCTCAGCAGAACATCAGCGTAGCTTCTTCTGGGGAGAAAAACACTTAGAGAAAAAATAAAGTTAATAGCTGAAGTAGCAGGAAATAATACAGTTAAAGAGCAGATTGTAGAAGAAAGTAGTAGAGTGTGAAAAGTGGTCAGTGTATCCTCCAGCAGTCTAAGCCTATAGCAGCATAACTACAGAGATAACTCTGGATAACCTAGCCTTTTTAGATGGAGGCATGTTGGAGGCAGGTTAAGGGAGAGTCGTCTTTACCGACTGTACACTCCACCTCCCTCTACTCCCCCACTTGTCCAGATCTAAGCTAACATCATATTTTAACCATAAGCCCTATCAAATAAAAATGTTTTGAGCCTATTCTTAAAAGTAGACAAGGTGTCTGCCTCACGGACTAAGACTGGGAGCTGATTCCACAGGAGAAGAGCCTGATAACTAAAAGATCTGCCTCCCATCCTAATTTTAGATATTCTGGGAACCACCAGTAGACCTGCAGTCTGAGAGCGAAGTGCTCGGTTAGGAACGTATGGAACAATCTCTCATCACTGATGTATGATGGAGCTTGATTATTAAGAGCTTTATATGTGAGAAGAAGGATATTAAAATATATTCTGAATTTAACAGGTAGCCAATGTAGGGAAGCTAAGACAGGAGAGATATGATCTCTCTTTTTAATTCTCATCAGAACTCTAGCTGCAGCATTTTGGACAAGCTGAAGACTTTTAACTACATTCTGTGGACTTCCTGAGAGTAATGAATTACAGTAATCCAGTCTTGATGTAATAAATGCATGAACTAGTTGTTCAGCATCACTCCTGGAAAGGATGCTTCTAATCTTAGCAATATTCCGAAGGTGGAAAAAGGAAATCCTACAAACATGTTTAACCTGGAATTTGAATGACATGTCCTGGTCAAAAATAACACCAAGGTTCCTTACTTTGTTCTCGGAGACTAATTTAATGCCATTCAGGTCAGGTGATTGATTAAGCAATTTCCTTTTCTGGATTTCTGGTCCAAAGATGAGAACTTCCATCTTGTCTTGATTTAAAAGCAAGAAGTTTAGAGTCATCCAATTTTTTATGTCCTCAAGACAAGCCTGTAATCTACCCAACCGATTAGGTTCATCAGGGTTAATGGATAAATATAACTGAGTATCGTCAGCATAACAGTGAAAGTTTATCCCATGATGTCTAATGATTTTACCAATTGGGGACATATATATAGTAAAAAGAATTGGTCCAAGTACTGAACCCTGTGGTACTCCGCAAGTAACCCTGAAGAAATTTTTCATGTATATTTACAAAATGAAATCTGTCAGACAGGTAGGATTTAAACCAGCTTAGCGCTGTTCCTTTGATCCCTACAACATGTTCAAGCCTTTCTACAAGAACATTGTGATCTACTGTGTCAAAAGCAGCACTGAGATCTATCAAGACTAGAACAGACACAAGATTCTTATCTGAGGCCATGATAATATCATTTGTAACTCTCACTAACGCAGTTTCAGTGCTGTGATACTCTCTAAAACCAGACTGAAATTCCTCAAACAGATCATTAGTGTTTAAATGCTCACATAATTGGATGGCCACTGTTTTCTCCAGGACTTTGGATAAAAATGGAAGGTTAGATATTGGTCTATAATTCATTGGGTCATCTGGATCCAGAGAAGGCTTCTTAAGTGAAGGTTTGATTACAGCAATATTTTTTAATTGAATTTGAATTTGAATTGAATTTGAATTGAATATCCTGTGGTACATATCCATTTACTAAGGATAGATTGATTATATCTAGAATGGGGCAGTAACCAAAGGAAATAATTTGGTTGGGATTGGATCTAAAATGCAAGTGGAAGGTTTAGATGAAGCCAATATTTTTGATAACGCTGAAAGCTCAACTGGATCAAAACGGTTCAAACACAGATGAGGTTCTACAGTCACCTCTGATGCTGCCTCGCTTACTGAGGAAGAAGAAATTGCATTAGGAAGGATGCTAAAGATTTTGTTTCCAATAGAATTAATTTTACTTGTGAAAAATCCCATAAAGTCATTACTGCTGAGGGCTAAGGGAATAGATGGCTCAGAGCTATGATTCTGTGTAAGTTTGGCAAGTTGACTGAAAAGAAATTTAGGATTATTCTTATTCTCCTCAATTAATGCTGAGAAATAAGTAGTTCTAGTTTGTCGAAGCTTATTTTTATAAAGCACAAGACTATTTTTCCAAGTGACTCATTACTTAATGAAGTACATATCCTGAGGTTTTGCACTTAAAACTGAAATTGTTTCAAAAGCAGAGCATGCCCCAATGGCTAGAAATCAACTTCAAGAGGAAAGGACCTCATATTTGACAGGGTGACACATCTGTATGTTACATCCCCCAATCCCACTTCCTGTCTGATAGATATATCTGTTCAATAATGAGCCGATGGTGCTTTAGTTTTCCTGCTCTATTAGCCTGCTGACAGAAACAGATCAGTCTAAGTTAATGAACTCAAACAAAACACATTTCTTTCCCATGCAGGCTTACAACAGCAGCATAACAAGCTTCTGCCTGCAGGTTGACCAATGTGTAGCTGAATATGGATGGCTTTCATTTCTGAGTTTATAATTAGCCCTGCTGTCATCGCTCAGTAGGCTCCTAGTTAGCTTTAGCAGATAGAACATCTGCATCAAATGTGTCAGTCTTTAAAATGGAGCTGCTGGGCTGTGGCGTTATGCTAATAGATGATTAAATACATTTATATTCTATTTTAAGAAATTAGTTTTTTATTGTATAAAACTACTTATTTATTTTAGTTCTCACATTTTATGAAAGTCGTTCATTCCTTCAAAGCAGGGTTCCCTTAAACACAGAGCATGCACTGTTTATTCCCTCGATGTAGCGTTTATTGTTAGACACGGCAAATAAAACACGGATTATTGACCAGACTTTCTTTATATCCGCTCCACAGAGGGAGAGGATTCTCAACATTGAGCGGATCTGCAACCTGCTTCGCAGAGTGAGTAATATTTGTTCTTCGCCTTCTGGTGGCAGATGACTAAAGCAGGGGGGCTTCAGACAACCATGACCGTTTGTCAATTTAGCTATTGTGAGGTCTGTGACGCACACTGATTCACATGGACATTATTCACCTCAGCCCATCATTTCAGCACTGCAGACATGCAGTGATGGAGATGCCACCAAGATTTGGAACCTCCATCCACCCATCCATCCATTTTCTGAACCCGCTTGTCCATGTAGGGTCGCGGGGGGGGGGGGGGGGGGGGGGGGGCTGGTGCCTATCTCCAGCGGTCAATGGGCAATCAGGCAGGGTACACCCTGGACAGAGAGCCAGACCATTGAAGGGCAACACAGAGACATACAAGACAGTTGCACACACACACACACACACACACACACACACACACACACACACACACACACACACACACACACACACACACACACACACACACACACACACACACACACACTCACACCTAAGGACAATTTAGACAGACCAATCAACCTAACAGTCATGTTTTTGGACTGTGGGAGGAAGCCGGAGTACCCGGAGAGAACCCACGCATGCACAGGGAGAACATGCAAACTCCATGCAGAAAGATCCCAGGCTGGGAAGCAAACCCAGGACCTTCTCGCTGCAAGGCAACAGCTCTAACCACTGCGTCACTGGAACCTATTTATTATTATTTATTTTAGATAAATGAACCTAAGATATCCCTGAAAGCTCACATTGCTACCAATGCTGTTGTTGAATTTACTTTTTCTGGAAGAGGATCCAAAGCAATACATACCTAAAAAGGCCAAAGATCCTAAAATAATGAAATGATTTAGAAAATAATTCAAACAAAAGACTGTGATGTTTGAGTGTTATTGATCTGCATGATATGTTTCAATATTTTTCTCCATAAACATGCTCAACAATTTTTAACATTTACTAATTAATTTGAGAAGTATAAATTGCGATTAGTCTGCAGGATGGAAACATGACGCACCCAGCAATGGACCCGCTGTCTTTTCCAAGCAGGGGCAGTTCTAGACAATATTAGAGGGGGGCCAGGCTGATCTGTATAGCCAAACTGTGCGTTCTTCAGCTGCCTGCAAAGGACTGCTTCATATAGCACTGTACGGTCCAAGATTTCAGTGAGTCAAACTGCACAATGTCTCACTCTAGCAGGACACGCTAATGTCATGAGCGTACTTGTCGAAAAACATACGTAACTAAGAGCCGACATCCAAGACAACAACGAGGAAATGAGAAAACAGCGCTACCGTTAACACCTTTCATTGGACTCCAAACCAAACTCAACATCTGTGTGGTCCATATGTTCTCACACGTAACCTCCATTGTTGCTAATGCTACTCTTGCTTTGTCCTCTTGTCACTAGTTTTTCACGTCACTCGCATGGTGTATTTTCATTGGTCGATTGCAGATCAGGTGTAGATTTTGTGATATGCTTGAAGACTGTTGGAGGCTGAATTCGGTAAATGCCCCATTTGGCTTTTATCCAACTAAATCTAAACATTGACATCTTTAAAAAGTAAACATGAGATTGTAACGTACTGTAAATCCCCTAATACAGGCCGGTATTCAATTAAAGGCCGGGTCTCCAATTCTGGCCGGTGTCGGAGTCAGCGGAGGTAAATAATGGCCGGTCTCTTGTTGTGGCCTCTTGTTGTGGCCGGATGGAATGTGGTAACATGCAAGTACGAGCGTCCCAGCGGCAGGGTTATAGTCCCCAAATCAACCAGCAGGAGGCAGTAGAAGTTCACGCAAACCTTTTTTAGGCTTTTTATTCAACGCTTTGTAACGCTACAGACACGATCCTCTATCACGCTCCTACCACACAGAGTCACGGTGTCAGTTAACCATGCTAATTCAACCCGCTCCACAGAACACACATCACCTTCCCTGTGGCTTACATAACACTCACACAACACGCAAATCAGCACATAGGAACTAGCAGAACGATAGGAAACACATATAACACAATACCCAGAATGCACCTGGCTTACAACCCCAGCCAGGTCATTACACTATCAAGTTCAAAGAGAATGTGCTGATTATGCTGCAGAACACTCTGGAGAGCAGCAGTAGGGGGTGTATGAACTACAGTAATCCCTCGTTTATCGCGGTAGATGCGTTCCAGACCTGGCCGCGATAGGTGAAAATCCGCGAAGTAGGGACTCCCAGCATGCCCCTCGCGGGGATTCCCTTCACGTCGCACCTACGTCACAAACCGCGGCTATAAACGGAAGTCGCCTTTCCAGCTCACCACTCAGTCATCGTTTCTTCAGATTCATGATCAGAGTTTCCAACCTACCGATCAATCCAACGAACTATCAGCTCATAGTAAGTTATCTTACTTTCTTCTGGAAAGCCCGGCATTTCCGTGTCACTTCGTTGACGCTCGAACGCTCGGGGGTTTCCTAGAGCACCGACGCTATCACTTCCGCGTCTGTGAAACCACGCTCCCTATTGAATTATCGTATGATCACATTCTCATTTTTGGGGGTAAAACTCAAGTGCCAGACCGTAGGTACTGACACGCGATCGTTCATGTCGGTTCATTTCCTTTAATGTTTTCTGTCTTTTATTTGCGCCTGATGTGTATCGCTGCTGTGGAGCGGGGCGCATCAACTTGTCCTCCGACGCACAGATCACAGCAGGGAGCGCTCAGCTGTTTTCGCGGTCGGTAGATCTGCCTCCTGAGCACGGCCACAGTAACAATCAGGTGTCGCCACCTCAAAAACTAATTTAACACGCGATCGTTCATGTCAGTTCATTTCCTTTAATGTTTTCTGTCTTTTATTTGCGCCTGATGTGTTTCGCTGCATGCTGTGGAGCGGGGCGCTGCGCGCATCACCTTGTCCTCCGACGCACTGATCACTGATACAGCCGCCAAACAGCAAGCGCTCCGCTGTTTTTGCGGTCGGTAGATCTTTTAGAACTGCAGTTCAAAGGTAACTCATGAGGTGAATATATATGAACCCAGGTAGCAGTTTTTCTTTAGGATTGAGAGGAGATGCAGGAAGATAATAAACAGACAGGACAGAAAAATAGTCAAATAAAAACAAGTTAGTTTTTGTACCTGCTGTTGCAACAAACAGACACCATTGAAGGTCATCAGAAGTGAGGAACATAAAATTAAATAATTATTTTAATGTTTAGAGCAGCAGGAACTCCGAGAGGCTGCAGGCGCATCAGTGAGTTTGCGGCCGCTGCGCAGGGAGAGGGCTGAAGCAGGAACTACCGTTGTTAAAAGAAATGTGTTTAACTTTGAAAATGTGGGCGCACTTTTAATTGTCAAAAACTCCAGCGAACCATTAGTTCATTTTGCTCAAATAGAAATAGAGACCTGCCTCTAATACTGGCCCTCCTTCCAATAAAGGCCTGGAGCTTGATGAGCTTGAGTCAAATACAGGCCCGGGCCTGTATTAGAGGATTTACGGTAGTTAAAGCTTGAAGGAACCAAAGCACCCTCTGGTGGCTGGCTGCAGTACAAGTCTTAAGCCCCGCCCCCTCCATGTAGAGAAATGGGACAGACACGATTCTGTTCACAACAAAGATTAGTCTAGGGTGGCTGAAAAACGTGCAGCGTGGCCTGGGTTTTAGAGAGGCACATTTGTAAGAAAACATTGAACACTACCATTAAGTTTCTTAAAAAACAAAATACTAATGGGAGTTCAGTCAGCTGCTTTATATACAGTACAACAACTTTTCGGCAAGTTTCCAAATTTAACAAATTTGCAAAAAATATTTTGATATATTAATGGTTTATCAACATAAAAATATTTACCTCAGTGTCCCTTTTCAACTTCAGATAAATGCATTCCCATGATTTTGTATTACACTAAATTATCACAAAAAATGCACAATTCTAAGGCTCCGCCCTCAGCCACGGGGGGTCCAAACTTGCTGTCAGAGTGAGCTAGTGCCACCCTTAACCTCCGTAGAACCACCCCTGGCAGGGAGGATTATGCTTGCTACATCAACTAGCATCCGTTTTTTGAGGGTTATCACAGAGAGAAGATGTTAAATTGGACTTGTGTTTTATTTGTATTTGCCCACTTATAACCATTGGTTACAGTAACAAAATTTATTTGAAAAGCAAGTGGTGACTAAAAATGATTGAAAAAAATTTCAGGGACAACTGTAAGCTAAAGGTTTGCCAACTTTTAACAAAAGTAACCTTTAAAATATCTAACAATTGATTGCAAAACTAAACTTGGCAGCCAGATGTCACTAAATCACAGATATCACAACATTAAAAGATGATGATTTTCATATCTTGTTTTTTTATTTATTTTTCATGTAAATTGATAATAAAAATAGTTTATAATTTTTTAATTAATTATATAAACAAACATGACCACAAGAGGGAGAAAAACAGCATTTGTTTGAATAATTTAATCTGCGAGCTCGAATGGGCTTCACGTCTGGAGGAAAGTTACCAAAGTTTTAAGGAATTCCTAAAAGTGCACAAGAACCAGTCTACATATGTTTAAAGCCTTTGTGTTGCACTCACAACAGCACGAGTAATGCTAATACCCTCTGCATCAAGGTGGTTGCATGGATGTGTGATTTTTGTTTCCCAGACTGTACTCCTGGCATCTTATATAACAAAGCTTGCTTTCCACCAAAAAAAAAATCTAATTTATGTTTTTAATGAAATGCATGAAACAATCTGTGTGTGTGTTCTGATCAGTTGGTGGTCCCGGAGTACTCCATCCACGGGCTGTTCTGCCTGATGTTCATGTGCGCTGGAGAGTGGGTCACTCTTGGCCTGAACATCCCTCTTCTCTTCTACCATCTGTGGAGGTACCATCTCATAACAGATGCATGACTAGCACATCCTGGGCGGACTGGGTGAGCGAGCCAACTGTCTTGCTTTTTTTTAGGTTTTTCCATCGGCCAGCTGATGGATCAGAGGTGATGTATGATCCTGTCAGCGTGATGAACGCAGACATCCTTAACTACTGCCAGAAGGAGTCTTGGTGTAAGATGGGCTTTTATTTGCTCTCCTTCTTCTATTACCTGTACAGGTAAGGAGTGTACCATCGTACCAATGGGCCCTCCATCTCATCTTTCTGGTGATGTTATTTTTCATTATTTCTCTCTGTAGTATGGTCTACGCCTTGGTAAGTTTCTGAAGATAAAGCAGAAAGAACCCAACGGAGACAACCGTCTCCTCGTTTCCTGCCTTTGCTTTTTTTAGGTGTTCTGGTTTTTTAACTAAAGAAGGCCTATCTGAGTGAGTGTGAAAGTTTTAGTGTTGCCTAGGTTTTAATTTAGCACTTCATCCCAGATCCAGCTATCAGATGGTTGCAAAAAGCCATCAAAGGTTTCAAAGAAACAAAGAGGAAATGGATGGAAGTGTTGGTAATGCCTTTGACCCATTATATGATTTATCAATATTCCTAAAGGGCTGGATTCCCACGCTGCTCTTACTGATCCATTCACAAAACTCACTGTGAATCTCCACACTCAGAGGCTGGAAAGGAAAAGAAAATGTCTGTATTCTTTGTATTTTGAAAAGAAAAAAAAAACACATAAAAGCAGGACTGTTTTGGTATTACTCGATGTATTTCAGACACAAGCTTTGTGAAATCATTGCTTTGATTGTGTTGCAGGTACTTTTGACTGTAAAACAGTTCTAAGTTGTACAAGAGCCCTTGAGATGATATGGTTTATTAGATGCAGAAGTACTGGCAAGGAGACAAAAAATGTCATAAGCAACATTCAATTTAGCCCGGTCTCACAGAAAAACACAAAACAGACAAAAATCTAGACTGTTGTGGGTTAGGAAGTTTGTTTGCTCAACCTCTTTTGTGTGTTCTCTCGAGTTGGTGAAATTATCCCATTACAGAGTTGGTTTTAACTGAAGCCAACTCAAACCTTGCGCATTTCAGGAATTACCCAAATTTGTAACAAAGTTCATAGTTTTTGATGGTGAAGATCTGAAACACAAGAGGTTTGGATTGGAGTTAAAGGTGGAATATGGAACACGAACAGCGTAGCGACATCTAGTGTGTGTATGCAACAATACAACAAGGTTTCAGCTGTCGGGACACCAGGTTCATGTGAAGTGACGAGAATTGGTAAGGATTAATTTCTACTAATGCATTTATTTGACAACAGTCTTTAATGTTATAACATCTGGGCTCAGAAGCATCTGCTTGACTTGCCGAGTCTGTCATGCTCCACAGGGCCAACCACGCTGTGCCAAGCGGACTGTTTACTGTATTTGGTAACCCGCAATGGTGTCCTCTGTAGACTGGGAATTGTAAACATCAACCCAGTGTCATGCCCATAAATATTTAATTTTTTTAATTAAAATATAGCTTTCACAGGAATTTCTGTACCTTCATTCTGCACACCTCTATTTTTTAATACAGCATTTCATTAAACTGTTCCATATTCAACCTTAATCTTTACATCCAACCTCCCCCAACCCCAGAATATCAACATGAATTTCTTCATTTATGTTGGTTTTTGTTAAAATGAAAGGAAAGAAAACAGCAAAAGGAAAATCTGTTCATTTCAAATCCAGAGCCTGGTTTGCTGTGAGGCTGGTTTTATCATGTTTAAATGTAAGGACCAACGTGCTTTCATCTTGTCTGCAGCTGTAGACATATTCTGTGCTTCATCGCGCTTTTCAAGCAAGCTCCATGCTCAAATAATAATAATAATGATGCCAAACGTTTATAGTCGAGGAGCATTGTGCCAAATTTATGAAGCAGCGGCAGGCCTTTGAATTCATTTCCTGTGACACATTCTCAGCTTTGGCACAATGTTTTCTTTTTCCCTGTTGTGTTTTTAGTGTGCAAAGAGCGCCTTTCTCCTATTCCAGTGATGTTTACTCTTTCTCACCTGCATCTATACTATACTCATTTTAGCACAGGAACTTTATTCTGAGGTAGAATAGTGATTTTATGTACAAAAAGCAATTAACAACCACCAATTAGCAATGTAATATGATTCATGAGACATATCAGTGGTGTGTTACACAGTGTTTCTTATTCAAGTGGGCGAGGCTTGTGTGTCAGATGAGAAATGAATGACTTAGAGATGATGTTTTAATTTTTTGGGAAGTGGAGAAATTATCAAAACAGCGACAATCACACTGTTTCAGAGGGGACAGATGACGACACTGCACATCAGATGAACCAAATGTGTGGATTCAGGAAATTAACTTTAGCAGCCTTTCAAGGACTTGTGTGTGTGTGTCGTCATGGCAGCCTATGGAAGGAGTTTAAATTTAAAGCTTTACAGCAAACACGTTTATAATTATGATGAATTCACATCTGGACAGTGTTAAAAGTGAACTTCCACTTGTTATCAATTATCAGTAATTGTAATAATCATTCATTGAAAGCAATAAGTAGGTTGATACTAGAAAATACCAGGATTAAAGAGTCCAAAAGCAAAAAAATAAATAAAAAAACAGTTAATAACAGCAGCAATACACTCGATTAAGGTTGGCACTGTTTTGTATTTGTTAAAAATCGTGTTGTCAAGCAAAATAGTTCTTTTCAAACAATGAAATACAGAAAATGAGCCTGTTCCTTTTGTGATTTTCTTACATTCCCAGTGCTGTCAGGGGTTCACAAAAACCAAGAGTCACAGTAATAAAATCCTTGTTGATTTTTAAAAACAGCAACAATGTTTAAAAACAGCTGAACATTGTAGCCTTCAATTTAGAAGCCTTGAGGACTAAATATCACTTCTTCTGATTGCTATTTCTTTGTTTAGAGGAGGCGCACAGCTGGCAAACGGCTCTGATGCTACAAATTTGTGAGTCAGACTGTGGCCTAGTCCACACGTAGCCGGGGTTTTTTAAAAATGAATATCCGCCCCTCCAAAAACTTGCATCCACACCACCTTGTTTAAAAAACCTCTGTCCACACGTACCCGGATAAATACGTTGTTAAGGACATGCCAGACCTGTAGGCGGCAGTACTTGGAGAAGCCAGGTGCCGGGCAATAGCTGTTCTTAACCTCGTCCTTCGTCTGTGGTCTTCCGCAAGGAGCAGTAATTCCGCTTGCAAAAACAAACAAGCAAAAAGCGCTTGGACAATTGACAAAGCGAGCGCAGCTCTGAGGGCATCCATGCTGTCGGCTAGTGTAAACACAGGTCGCACACGTGATGTCAGCATTTTTTGTCGCAGAAAGTGACGTTACGGACCTTAAAACTCTGGTTTCGTCTGTCCACACGCAGACACCCAAAACGGAGAAAACGCAGATCTTCACTTTGGCCGGAGTTTTTAAAACGATCCGTTTTCGTGTGAAAAAACTCCGTTTTCGTTTGGATGACAGGCCAAAATGTAGAAAAATATCTACGTTTTGGCAGATCCCCGGCTCCGTGTGGACAGGGCCTGTGTAACACAGAAAATAGGAGAAGGTAGTCGTTTTTGTAGGTGTATGGGAACCAGAGGCTTCAAAGCAGAAATGTGCAGTTTTGCTCAGAGGGCAGAAAACACATCTTGCACATTAACCCCTTCTCCATGCTTACGGGATTACGGCTGGAGGCAACGCAACAGAGCTAAAACACATAGTTTTATAAATGTTTTTATCAAGTTATGCCGTTTATTAATATATATATATATATATATATATATATATATATATATATATATATATATATATATACACACATTTTTCTGTTTGCCATTCGAGTTGAATGTGGAGATCTTTCCAGTTGAAAGACAGGTCCAAGATAAACCCTTTACCAGTCTTTGAGGTACTTTTTGGGCAAGTTTAGCCTGTGGGCTTTTCTTTATTTTGTCTGTCTTCTAGTGGAAACAGGCATTGTTCAGAAGGCTGCTGCCAGGTTCCTGAAAAGCACTAGCTGCAGTGATCATATTACTCCGGTGCTGGAACAGCTTCACTTTTTCCTGTGTACCCCTTTAGTGTCCTGGTCTTTGTGTTTACGATTAACGGTCCTGACCTTAGTGGTTAATGGCCTGGCACCACCTTACCTGTTCGAGCTGCTTGCTCCTTATGTTTTCGTGCGTGCGCTGAGGTCGACTGATCTTCTGCTACCCTTGGATAAGCTATAAACTGCAGGGGGAACGGCGTTTGTGTGTGCCACCCCTTCACTCTGGAACTCACTTCCTCCATCAGTCAGACAAGCTCCGTCTCTCCCCCGTTTAAAATCTGGTTTAAAGACTCACTTTTATGGTTTGGCTTTTGGCCAGTGACTTTTGTGCCTTAGGTTTGGTTTTACTTTGGTTTTACTGATTGATTGTTCTTATCTGTTGTTGTAGCCTGTCTTGTTGTATTCTGGTATGTATGTTTGTGCTATATGTCATGTTCTGGGGGAGGTGCCTAACCCAAGACATGCAGAATCAAACCCGAACACAGATGGAATGGGAAAAATAATATTTTATTTAGAACAACGATAACTAAAGGCGCACTGGGAAGTCCAGTGGACTGGGAACGGGAATGCAGCGTCTGGAGGGGAGAGCAGAGATAGGTGAGTCCTGGGAAGTAAGTCTAAACTGAATTGGGGAGTGAGGGGCGGTAGTGAGCCAAGGTAGATCCAAGAGGGGAGTGTTCAGAGCTGGAGAGGGAGCGCGGGGTTCGAGGGAGAGCGGGTCGGTCAGGACGGATGGATGATGAACGTTGCAGAGCGAGAAGGTCCAGAGTCCTATGGAGTTGGGTGAGTAATCCTGATGTATCGAGAACCTGAGGAGGGTGAGCCAAAAATACAAAATCACACGAGACCAAAAAATACACTAATCTGAAAAAACCTGGAGACTAGAACGAGGGCTGGAAACTACCAAGCAGTAGCAATCATCCGGCGTCGAGATGTCTTCACCATCCCTCTTAAGTAGTCGACCCGCTGATTAGCAGATCAGGTGCAGCTGCCGCTCCCTCTCCTGAAAACACACTCAGAGATATGTTGATGAAGAGAGAGTACTCACCCTGGCTCACGACACTATAGAAATAAACCGGTATGGTATTGTGGATTCGGCTGTGAAGGCATTGTAGCTGCTCCATAATCTGCTGTGTCTTTGTAAACAGTTCGATAAAGCTGCTGATTCAAACTGCATAAGGCTTTACCGGACGGAGCGCGGACTTAGCTAAAACAATTGACGTGTTGCCTACATAATATCCCAAAACAGGGTTAGACTCACTTTTACGAATTTCTAAAAAAGATTTATCATACATACCTCCTGAAAGAGGGAGAACTCCAGATTCCTGTTTTTACAAAAGAATTTTTAAACAATGAAGAAATCTTATAAAATTCTGTTTAATAATAACAATAAAAACACAAATGTACATGTTTTTGTATCAAAAACTAATTTATTATAATACAAATTCAGTTCACCCAGCTCATAGTTAGGATGCCCACACACACACATACACACACCTCTTACGTCACTTGTGATGTGTTTAATCGACAGAGCATCTCAAATAGGTTGTGTGACATGAATTTTAAACACTAAGGCGACTTTCATAGGCTGCCAGCGTTTTTGGGAGACATGCGGTCGGCGGCGACACACGCTGAGCCGAAATGATGCTCGCCTATAATCACAGGACAGTGAGACCTCAAAGCTCTGCCAACAGTGTGAATGTGTTGAGACTGGACAATCACTATCAAAGCACAGGAACAACGAGGAACGGGGGAGAAATCAAACTGGGAGGAATGTTTTTATGTAGTTACTCTAAATAAAGCATTTTAGGAAACTGGATTTAATTCTGTCTTGTATCTGTCTTTTATACATTTGTCATCAACGTACGCTAAAGTATTTTTGGTGGATCACTTTATATTTATTAGATTACACTATGATGTGCATCTATTCACTTGCTGTATTCTAATAAAACTCATGTCAAAATCAGCTTTTTTCCAAGCGTCTTAATTTGCTTTTAAAGGTTTGCGCCTCATTTGTGAGGAAATCTGCAGAAATGCATCCATCCAGATGCTGAGGGAACTGATGAGGAGACCGGGTGGTGTACTAGATGAGGACGGGGGCCGAACTATCACCAGGAGTGTTGTCTGAGCTAACAGCTGCATTCAGAAGTGGTTGCAGAGACATTTACACAAGCGCTTGAAAGGCACAAAAATAAGCATGAAAATGTCCTGCTGAGCCAGTAAGTGCTTCTACTTTAGAGGCAGGGAATGAGGCTGCTTATTGATGCCTTTACCTTCATGGATATAAAATTACTCATATAGAAGTGAAGAGACCATCTCTGGAGAAATGATAACGAGACCTGATCGCTTTTTTCTGTAATGCTGAAGCATTCGTCTTAACGTGCAGGTTGATTAAAAAAAACATAACAGCTGGATGATCTTTTTAGGGACAACCCAGGGAGTCATTTATTGGTCTGGAGGGTTCACCCGCTTATCAAGAGTCCAAATACTGATTCAGGCAGAAAAAAACAACAATGTCTCAAGCTGGCACTTTTTCCCCCTCCTCTGCTTGAAGAGGACATATCCCCTGCTGTCACCATGGAAACCAAATTGCACTAGAAATTTCTGTTGACTCACTTTGAGGGTCTCACTCAAAGCAGAAAAATCCAAGAGGAGGTAGCGCTCGTGCCCTGCAAAGCAGCTTCTCTGCACTTTTCTCGCAAGAAAATTCTATTTACTACATTAAGACATGTGCATCGTCATGACAATCTGAACTCCGGGTGCATGATACCTGCTCACACGGTAACAGACAGTGACACATGCATGCTCACACAGCATGCCTCTGCCCACGGTTCACGCCATTTCCCCTCCATCAGATCAGGCTTTTCCTTCTAACAGTCACAGTAATTGTCTCAGCTCCTTTCCCCTCTCTCCCACGTCTGTGCTCACTCAGAAAGATGTAACCATGGAAACTGGCTACAACTGATGGGCTGGAAACGTCATGATTGGCATGCACAATTTGCTGGTGCACAAGCACACTAAAGTGAATGCACAATCACACTAACACACACGCACTGCCCATTGTCCTCATTTGTTTTCATGCAGTGCACTCTGGGATGTGCTGTAATTGTGGGGGTGTGGATGCAAGAGAACCACGGTGACATCGTGCATGTAAGGGTCATAGATTTTAGTTTTAGAGGAACATTTAGTGCAACGCCACAAGAAATCATACAAACTTTTCTTCCTCCATGGTGATTTTTACTAAAACATTGAAATAAAGATACAGTTTTGTAAGTTTTGCAGTTTAACTCATAGTAAAAAAAAAAAAAAAAAAGAACGAATCAGCTCTACATTTTGTTGTTCACTTCTTAAATCCTCCCAAAGAGGAAGGAGCAGATGTGCTGTTCTAACAAAGTCTTTGTGTCCAAGAATGTGTCAAACCTGTTCACACTTATGCTTTTATTTGGACAGTGCCCAGACAGAGACATGAGCGTGACTCACTCCGACTGTCAGCTGCTGTCTCTTTTATATTAATATCCATTTTTCATTTACAAATAATGCCTTCATATATTTAAAAAAATTATTTAGTCCGTGCTTTTTAGGGTAAGATTAGGTTTTGGTTTGCAATTTCAGATAAATAGCCTAGTGGCATGCTGATGATAAAATCTTTAAGATAAAAATTTATGAAAGTGTGGAATAAAATTTTCCACTTGGTTCTTTCCTAAACACATAATGCATAGGTCCGTCATGTAGTATTTGAATTTTGAGCCATAAGAAAAAAGAAATAAGGAAGAATAAAAAAGAAAAAGAAAAACCAAAACTAAACGCACGCGAGCTTTTGTGCAAAAGTAAGCTAAGAAAAGTAGACATCCTGTAGACAGTTGTACCATTACATAAGCCCATTTCTAATTATCACTTGTCATATGAAAAACAAGAGAAAATAGCTTGTGTAGGCGAGGCCATGGGGCTAACTGTGCTGTAAAAAGGTTTAAGAGGTGAAAAACGAAAGTGCATCTGCTGAAGCTCCCTTGATTTTATGCACGCGTCTAACACCAAGTGAGAAATAAATAATTTACAGCAGTAAATGCGAGGTGAGTTATAATGGAAAAGAGGTGAATATTTTTAGATAATGCTGCTTTGCATGCTCACAGAAAGGAGTTTTCAATTTGCCCGGAGAAAAAATGGCCACAAAGAAGCTGATGCTTCAGAGTACCAGTGAGCCATCACTGGAGGGTGTCTACAACATGTTTACCTGGTGATGCGGTCCTAATTGTATCAAAGCACTGTAGATGTTTTGATGCTTCTAATTTATCCTCCAGGTTTCTGTTTAATCAAGATGATGATAAAAGGATGGAACGATTAGCTGCAAGGTTCACAGCTAGTCTACGCCTGGTCCAGTCCATCAGCTACAGTCAAAGACAAGGGTATCGTAGAAGTACACAGCCAGTAAGCCAACAGCAGCCTTCCCTTTTGTGAGTCAAGATGGGTGAGTCCATGAATGTTAAATGGATACTTTGCAACTTTTTTATATTTCTAAAGAATTGCCTTGAGCATATGTGCTCAAATGAAAGTTTACAGAGTTAAGGAAATGTTACTCAGACCCCCCACCACCCTCTGTGGCCAGAATATGCATTTGCAACTTCAGAGTGCCGGTCTGGTCTGTTGGGGCTCAGAAAAAATTGAGCTTTCAGACTTGGTGCTGCATTTTGGTTCCAGTATGTTTCCTGCATGTTTTGATTCATTTTATTTAGGGATGAATCAATCCTGTAGACACTAACGAAGGCTGGGGAGACATTTCAGCTGTTGAACGCACAGCGAGGAGAGAAGTTTCACTTTTGGTTCTACTAAATGGACACTAGGGGGTGCTAAAAGCAAGCCCAAACTGCCCAGTCTCCCTTTAAGTGACAGTGTGATGTAGATCTGTCAGGCTTTTCAAATCCTAGCGTTTCACCGTCTATTTTCCATCAGGTGTAGGAGACAATGAGGATGGCTAGAGCTACTAGCTGAAACATGTAAGGTAAACAAATAATTTTTAGTAAACTGTGTAAGAAAATTTAAAAAATGGAGGAGACTATTTTCACATTCAGTCTGCAGGAAAAACTCAGAGTGACCGATTATAATCACAAATAAGATTTTATAAAAATTCTTTCAGTGTTCCACTTCTTTAAAAAAATTAAGACACAAAATATATACGTTAAGTATTTATTCAAATATGCATTGAACTCAGCATCACGTCACCACAAAGACCATGTAATACAAAGACTGGAACATTTTTATGTCATTGAAAAGGCACTTATAATCACAGACTGAACCTTCAGAAAGGCTTAAAAACAGAACAAAACAATTAACTCTTTCATGCATAAAATCTTAAAATTCAGTTATTTTATTTCTCCTATAAGTGTCTAAAGGTTTGGAATGAAAGTAAATTTCAAAAAAACATTTTTTTTTATGTGCGTATAAAGTGAAGGATCCACTCAGGAGGACTTGTATGTGCACACGTACTGTACACGAACGGGCTAATTAGACCTAAAGTTATAAATCAGGATCCTTCAGGTTTTCAGAAAAAGTAACCCTCTTCAAATTTTGTCTGTGTAAAAAAAAAAAAAAAAAAAAAAAAAACAACATCTTAAAAAATGAAAAGGAGAGGCAGTTGAGTGTCAGTTTAGCTCCCAGCGACTTCCTGTGTCCTTTTCAGTAAATATAAGGGAAAATCCTGTAGGGGACCCGGCGGCAGTAAGTGTCCCACGCCTGTCCATATTTGGCCCTGCACTGCCTCTCGTCACGGGCCTCCCGGTGAATCAGCAGGACGGTGAAGTAAACAATGTAGAAGTATGGCAAAATGTGTGAGAATCCTAAAGAGGAAGAAGCAGATTGTAATGAGGATAAGTGACCCAGGACTCCACATTGTTATAAAAGAGAAACCCACACCTCCGTTTACAACTGACATGAGCGTGCATGAGGCGAACTGCACCCAACAAGCTGTAATCAAGTGTTCAGCCTCCTCTGCACAAAGCTCAACATTTCCTTCTCGCTGTACAAAAGCTGAGTGGTGAATAGATGTTTGATTACTCCCGTAATGCTCGGTGTTGATTCATCTCAACGGTCATCCCCCTTTGGAGGCTGTACTTACAGCTTTTGTCTGTGTGCCATTGTTTGATCTCAGCCTTTGTCGGTGCAGCTCTCGTCTGTCTGGAACATGCTGTCAGGATGTTCTTTTTCTAAGTGCACAAATCCTCAGTTTATGATTTCTGCAGCCGGATTTGAGGCAGGAACTGCCTTATGCGTCTTGGTTACAAAAGGCAGCTCCACCAGTGAGTCATTTTAAGGCAGAATAACAATGAGAGGTACAAGTGTCAGCTGTAACAATGGTCTGACAGTCACTATTTCAGGGAACAGGAAAAATACATCGTTCCGTCGGCTATGAGTCGAAATTCAAGCTTTTTTTAAAAACGATTTTATGATTTAAACCAGTCAGAATCAATATCTAATAAATTGACTATTGTTGGGCAACTGTATTGAGTCATAGAGATAATTCATAAACATTTGAAAATGCTGTACAACATTTTAAAATGCCTTAAAACAAAGGAAAGTTTGGTTAGGTGGGAATAAATCAGATGTTTGTACAGATCTCAGAATTCGCAGCACCCTGGATCATTTCACTAAATATGTTATAACATTCAGATTCATTTGAGAATTTAAATACAAAAAATATATTTTCAAAAACAATATAATTTCTTACAGGCATCCTTGCCTTCTTTTCTTGCATAAAAGTGATGCTAAAATATAATTTTTAACAATTGCTGCACATGGATGAGGAGCTGAAAGTCACAATTCAAAAAGTAACAACTAAATGTGTTAGAAATATTTACATTGTAATGTAAAGTAACAAGGTATCTGAAAAAACTCAGTCAACACTTGAAAAAAAATTGTGAGAAAAATATCCTGTTTGCATGGTGGGGGCGGAGCACAACACTTGTACTGGATCCAGCCACAAGGGGACACTTCAAGTCCTTTGGACTTTGGCTTCTGCATTGCAAAATTTGTTTTCAAAGTTGTTGGTGATTAAATGACATGATTTTTGCAATCCATCACTTCTAACTGGAAACAGTAGGACAGAGACCAAACCTAGTAGCTTCTGACTTCTAATTGGCAGACAAACGGGTAGAAAACGTGCCTGAACCTGATCATGCGTGTGTTTGACCCATTAGGATGAAGCCGGAGTGCCTGGAGACAACCCATACATGCATGGGGAGGATGAACTAACTCCATGAAGAAACCCCACAGCTGAGATTTGAACCAGTAGCTTTCTTGCTGCGAGGCAACAGTGCTACCATGCAGCTTTGCATTTCTCACCACGTTTTAGCTAATTGTTTTGATTTTCCACTCAGTGCTCCAGCTCCCAGCTGGAGGATGAACTTAGCTGAAGAATGAGATTGCGTTCACTGCTGACTTCTATTGCTAGTTTCTGTATGGCGACCAGGGGAATAAGACATTTTTGATGATTAGTTTTCAGTTTGATGATAAATGAGCCAAATGCACCTGCATCAGAGGTGATGGACAGGATTATTTAGATGTTTTTGATGGAGAAAATGCAGTTACCACTATATTTAGAATGGGAGGACGATGGCTGCGTGCAGGCAGCTGAGGTTGACTGAGAGATGAGGAACAGATGGGTGAGGCACCGGGGAGCTGAGAGGAGGCAGTGACACAGGAACTGGAGAAAGAGCGTCTAATCTAAAGAAAGGCAGCTCACCTATAATTACTGGAGCCTATCTTTAACATCTTCAATGTTAAAAAATATATATAGTTTTAAACATGTTTCACTATTAATTCTCATCCTGCAGCTCAGGGACGTTTCTCTTTGCAGCTGAGATGTCTAGAAATCGACTTCTAGTGTCTCAAACATTCATGACAACTTAAATTCAGCCTGATGTTAGTGTGGTAAAAGTCTGTAGCCACTTGAAATAGGTTATGACAAACTGAAATGTGATTCAACAGTAGATTTCTACTTAAAAGAGAGGGAGGTTTGATGGTCCCTAACATGACTGAGACGCAAAAGCTGTCTGGTTTAAGTAGCTGCATTGGTCTCCATGCTGGATTTAATCAATACATGAAACCAAAAGGTTTTTGCACAACATGCAACAATAGGTCCGCCAGGTAGTGAAAATCTTTATAACACAAAAGTTCAGGCATCAATATCAGCCACCTCTGGAGGGGTATGACAAACAAAAGCTCCGATCACAAAGAAGATAACGGTACCATCATGTTTCACCCATATGGAGACACTGAAAGCTGTGTGTGTGTGTGTGTGTGTGTGTGTGTGTGTGTGTGTGTGTGTGTGTGTGTGTGTGTGTGTGTGTGTTAATTATCTAATTTGAAAGATGCCTTAATTATCACTTAATAGAGTGGACAACAGTGCTGATGTCTGGTACAAAGAACCAAAAGGTCACTAATCTGGTCTATTTTCTCCCTCTAAAAGAATGAAGCATCAAAAAACCCTGCAAAAAGAACAGAGAAACAACAGATCGAGATCAACTGGAAAACTTTCTGATGCAGGTCTTGACCCAGGAGAGAACCACCACGCACGGCCTCAAATAGGAAACCGCTCACCAGAGCGATGGGAGCCAGAAGCACTGTGACCAGAATAAAGTGGAGCAACATCACTGCTAAGAAGAAGAAGAAGAAGAAAATATCATTTCTATAGCGCCTCTCAAGATAAAAATCACGAGGCGCTTCACAAAAACAAAAACAAAAAATATAAAAAATTGTAAAAATATAAAAAAGCATTTAGAAAATGTTTAAAAATATATTTAAAATGAGCAAGAATAAGCAATTGCGATTTAAAAGAAAAAATGTTAAGAAAGAGAGAGAGTGAATAGGAAAGAGGGAAATCAGTGGATCCTGAGGAAGGTGGAATAGGTGGGGAGAGAAGAAGAAAGAGAGAGTGGTGAAGAAGGTCACACAAAAAAAGAGGCACGAATATAACAACCTGACCAAAAACAAATAACCCCAAACAGATAAATAAATAAGCCAAGTCTAGTTTTCATCTTTCTCATGCTGGATGTTTTCTACGTGCCTGTGAAAAATCTATTTAGAAAAAAAAACTGAAAACAAAATTCTGTCTAATTAACTTTCATTTAAGATCTTTTTTGTTTAATATTTACAACAAAAATATTTATAGCTCATTGAGTTTTAGCCATTTTTGGGTTATACTGGTTACCTGTGGCCATACTGATGCAGGCAAAAACATCATGTGATAATAACAGACAGATAATAATGAGTTATCATTAAAGGAATTAAATAACCCTCAGATGTTATAGTCTCATCAACTTTATTACACTTTATGAATACAAAATATTTTATTTGACAATCTAATCTATTAAATGGTTATAACACAGATGTTGTTTTTTAAACTTTGTTTGATTGGATCTACTCTTGTTCTCTGTCTGTTTCAGAATCCAATTTAAACTTTACTGATTATTTCTGGCACCGACTTCTTTGTCAGACATTTTTTGGCACCATCACCTTCCAACTGGAGCTGTGAGGTCTACAAGTCAGGTGCTACTGGACTGGAAACCGAGGTGACAGAGGTTGTTCTGATCTGTGGATTTTTCTACAGATAACTCAGACTATTAGTTATTTTAAATTGCTGCTTAATTTTCACTGGTGTTTATTTGAACTAACCAACTTGGCTTTTAATGAGCGAGCTTCATTTTTTTGCTCATTTGTTTTATGTGATCTCGTTTTGTTAAAGTTTGTACTAATTACTCATTTTTATTAAATGTTTTTAACAACATTTTGGTCAATAGGGGATGCGTATTAGAACGAATCTGGCAATGATATTTATCACAATACATGGGAGATGATACAATAAAAAAGGACAAAATTTAATAGGACAACTCAGGACAGAAGCTTCCAAGACACATCCAGTGTTACCGTGAGATCTCGGTATTCCGACAGAATGAAGGCAGTAAAAACGAATACCACCTAGCAGTCAGAAGTTGAATTACACCACGGTAGACAGTTTGCATCTGAATTCTCAAAAAAAAAAAAAAATTTATACACAGATTTTAAATAGCCATTCAGAATCATAACATGAAAAATTGTGATATATGAGTGTAACAATATTTTGTTGCATCCCTATCGGTCAATTACAAATGTTTAATGTTCTATAGAAATGAGCTTTGACTTCACTTCCTGGATTCAAATAATTTGGGAGAGTTTGTAGAGCTGTTGTTTTGGGAGTCTTCAGCCACAAAGCAGTTAAACCTTTTTTTTTAAAGAATCAAATGAACTTACAATGAAAAGTAATAACCATAAAAATAATAGCCATTTCAGTTAATTGAGACAGTTGAAATTAAAACATACATATGAAATTACTATAATTATTAAACGTAAATATGGCTGAATATGATTTATTTCCTAACCTGGCAATTATTTCTCATGATTTCATTCACTTTAAAATAAAGCACCTCTCAGCATTCTTTCTCAATTTTTCTAAACCACGGGTCTGGTGAGCTGGTCTCTGACTACAAATGATCAAATTTTTTCGATTTTACAAACGGAGAAGGGAGCTCCCTACTGCCCAAAAGTACCCGGGTGGGTACATTATGGAATCCTGGAATCATTGGAAGATTATGTGCCTCTCACTGCTTTCCACGGAAGGCTCTGAAGACGTTTACATATTTGGATTCATAACTACCAGTTTCCTGCTGTTTGAAGCTGGCGGCTACCAGGTGTGTCAGAAACATTTGGAGCTGACAGGGGCTACTGGCAGGTCTCCTGACCTCAGAGAAGGTGCATGCTGTGCTTTGAACTCCAACCCTAACCCTCCCCTTCTCTCCCAGATGTGAACCATCTTTCTCTTATCTTCTCCCAGCAGCAAAAAAGCACCATGAACTAGCTGCTCTCATAGCCTGCCTGAACCTGTTTTGTCTATGTGTTTGTGTGTATCTTGGGTCGTGCTGTGAAGTTAAATTTCGTTGTGGTTCAATGACAATAAAGTTGATACTGATTTTGATAATACAGCCTCCCTGTGTTTGGATTTGCCCTGTGCGGCCAGGGTGCAACATCAGCAGAAAGCCTTTAGGCCATCTTACCGCACGGCAGAGACCACGCCAGAGCCATGAGAAGGTCGCCGAGGTAATTAGGATGACGAACAAAACCCCACCAGCCAGACACAAGCAGCCGTTTCCCCATCGCCGTGGCAATAGTCTCCAAACCTGTTGATTTTTATTTTGTATCGTTTGTGAAATTTTACAAATAAAAAACTCTGAAAAGACAGATTCAACAATAAAAAATAGAAGACCTGCTACACTCGGGTGAGTCGGGTCTCTTCTGAACTGGTTCTTCTGTGAGTTTGACTTTCTAAAGATATAATATCCCATTCCTGATGGCAAACAGAAACACGTTCATTATGAACTAATATTACTTTAGTGTTCTTCATCCTGAGGAGGAAGATATTCACCATTCAGCGCTACTATTGCCGCTGCTTTAAGGAGAGTCAGAGCCTGTGGGTGCCCAACCAGGAAGGCTGCCTGCAGACTGTATGTGAAGGGGACCCAGGCTAGGTCACCAAAGACCAGCATGAAACCAAAACCATCATGAACAATGTCCATGGTTGACAGAACTGCCTCCTAGTAAACAACACACAGGAAAATAGAAAAATTAGATTTTTTCATAATAAAACTGTAATCTAAATCCTTTTGATGAGGCTACCGCCACGGTCACCTCGTTCCACAGAGCATCGGCCACATAGAGCAGCTGGAAACTGTTGACCAAGATCATGGCGAGAGAGGGAGATCCTCGAAGCTCCACCTCCTTCATCAGCATCCCGAGGTTAATGACCACCTGGGGGGATGTGAATATTAATGAATATCAGAGTAATTAACCCTCCCTTCCTGACACACCGAAGTGATCAAGTGGTGCAGATTCACTAAAAACAAACATTTTTGTTCTTATTTCATTCCCAGCTTCAACTCATTATGTTGAGGCTTTCTCAGCATTTATAAAATGCTGAATGTTAAAAGTAAGGAATTATAACAAATCCCACACACTGTCTGGAGCCAGTTGGTGGAAGGTTTTTCTGTGCTCTCCTACGCATCCTGCTTTAAGACATTCGAAATGTGCAGAAGGTTTAGCTGTTTTACTGTAGAAGCAGAGAGGCAAAGGAAACTGTTTCTCTTCCGTCTGATTTCATTCTTACTCGTCAGATAAAATCAAGTCTTGTAAAGTTAATGGGAACCTTGTAAGTACAAACCCCTGATTCTTACAGATAAATCTACGTTCTGTCTGGTGATGCAGATACAAATAATGATGCTGCACCAGTGCCCTAAAATAAATCTGTCTCTGTGCCGGGTCATTAGGGAAAGCAAAGCTTCTGATTTGGGCTGTTTCAAACTCAGACTGAAATTAGCCCACAGGAGAGCAACAGCGCCACCCGATGGTCAAACTAAAACACCCAGTTACCTAAATAATGACCATTTGGTGTAATTATGGCATTTTTTTCCCCTGAAAATTTCAACTGAAAGCTGAGAAAATGAACGTCTCTGTATTTCTGATGAGTGACACAATGGTATGTTTTAGTGGTTTAACTCACCCAGCCAATCAGACCTGGTCTGAGTTCACACATATATTTTAAATCAAAGTTTCCAATTCGTGGGTTTAGCTCCCGCCCGATGAAGAAGTCATACAAGGGATTTCCTTCGAAAACATGAAGCAAGAAAATATTAAACAAACCACCTGGGGGTTTAGTGTTAAGGAAAACACTTCACAGAATAAAGAACAATTAAATAAATCATATATATATGCAGCTTATTACAATAGCTCCCATCACATTCATTCTATTTTGCTTCTTTTACTTCGTGCAGCCCATCGGGCAACTCTGACTTCATCAATGGTTCTTTTAGTTAGCCCTTGTAAAAATATTCATTGCAGAATAATCTTATGCTGCCTGCATCTTTCTGGATGTGCTCTGCCTGAGGATACAGCAGAGCTGGAACAGCAAGGTCAGCGTTCGCTGTGAGCGTCTGAAGAACTTGGCTGTTAGATAATCACCCACAGGAATACCCAAATCCAGTAAACGCCCAAAGCAGGCATTGAAATGCATGATGGGTAGCCTGTAGCTGCGTGTTCATGTTGATTATTTCTTTATTGATGCACATTGCCTTCTCACCTGTGTTTCCCCCCAGGGCCAACGCATGGTAGGGAGCCCAAAAAGATCGTACGTAGAGGTAGATGGAGAGCAGGAACGACGCAGCTATGGCAGACGCCGCCAGAGGCAACAGCAGTTCAAACAGATATCCGATAGGAACCCCGAGCCCCAGCAACAACACCAGCAACACAGAGCTGGCACACAGACTGTGAAAACCTCGGGGAGGGAAGCAAATAAAACTAAATGCCAGAGCCCGGGGAAGAGAGAGAAGCAAACATGAGGCTAAAACATGTAAATAAAGTATACTTCTGCACAAACAGACAAATGTGAACTCTGAATTTGCACTTTAAATACAAGCTGTGAACTATTGCAGTTACAGTACTATAAAACATTTCACACTTAAGTTATGACTACAAATAAAATCTGTTGCAGATTAAAGTATGAAAACTAGCCAAACTCAAACAAAACAATACCATTTATGGGATACTTGAGGCGTGTTCCATCCCTCAGCGTTAGTCCTTCAGATACCTGCAGACAAACATTCATCAGGCTGACTAGTTACCGAGTAGTAGAGTTATATTACAGCATCACAGAGGCAGTCAAAGTAGAGTTGATTAAGTAAAATTTATAACAGCTAAAGTACAAAATATATAATGACATAAATGTTATTACTTTACCCACTTTGCTGCCTCACCTCAATACGTTGCTTTGGATAAAAGCATCTATCATGTATATCAGCATACAATAAGCAAAATAAATGAAAATAAAATGACTAATTTTGCTCTTGCTGTGGACATTAAAGAGTTAAGCTTGTTCTAAGCTGCATCTCAGTGTCTCACTGCACTAGTCAGTCAATCAACAAAGCTGAAAGTTCCTTACATTAAAGAGAAATTAGGTGCCATATGCAGACATGACTCATCGCATTTTCCTGTTCCAGCTCAGACGATATTTCATTTTAAAACATTTATATTTTCAGATCTCTTGAAAAGGATTTCTGTGAAAAGAGTTATGAATAAGTAATTTCCAGTTGCTGGAATAAAAACATGAATTCTAATTAGATTGACGTGCTAATGACTAGTTTAGGTGGAACCAAAACATCTAGATTAAAATGTCCTCACAGCTCATGCTAACATTATTTTATTTGTGCCTGATCTTTATCCTTTGAGGTAAGTCTGTGACACTTTAACACTTCAACGGAAAGTAGCTAGGTGATGACACACACTAATTTGCATATCAATGACCTCATGATGTCTTATACCTTGGAGTGCTGCTAAAAATAGGCACTTGGAAATAATTTCTGATTGCTTTACAGCTGGGTAGGTCACCATAAAGATAAATCTTATTCTAAAGGAATTTTGCTGGTAAGAGACCTTGCTGTGTGAGAGAGTGAGATCAACCAAGAAAAGTTTATGATTGGTCAGTCGATGTAGCATGACCAAATCTGCCTCTTTAGATAAAGTTGCTTTACAACAACATAAAAAAACAATAAACAACATAACAATGGGAGAAAATTAATAGCTTTTAATGTTTTTGTCAGGGATGTCTATTAGTGAAATTCGGGCGATATGATACGTATCACGATACAGGGGAGACGATACGATATATCACGATATATTGCCATACATTCAGCCAGACGATATTAGCGATTATTAAGACAGAATTTACTGTAGCAAAATTGCATAAACAGTCCAAACTGATGTGTAACAGGTTGAACATGAGGTATCTGAACCATAATTGAGAGATTTACATTTCAATGGTGGAAAAACAAAACCCGCTGCCCACTGCTGCCAACTAGCAGTCGGCTTTTGAATTTCACCCAAAATAAATAAATAAATAAATAAATACACAAATGTTTGCATGAAAATTCTTCCAAAAATTCGATACATAGCTTTTGAATATCGATATAATATCGCAGGAAAATATACCACTATATATTGTCATAACAATATTTTCTTTCATCCCTAATTTTTATGGTGTGGTTTATATTGTGAATGTGTTGAACCCTGATTTGAAGAAAATCCTGAATCGAACCGAAATTGCAATTTCTCCTAGAAAAATCGCAATAAAATTTTTTTCTAAAATCGGTCAGCCCTAGCCCGAAATCCATTTTGCAAATGGCCTCTCTGTTATTAGCTGTTACATTATCTGTCCAGTTAAAACTAATCGATTTCTCTAGGCTTTTTAAAGCCATCTACTGGTAATAATTGTTCACAGAAACCATTTCAATTTATGATGACAGGGGGTGCTGTTCAGCAAAGGGTGGCCGGTATATATTAAATGTATTAAAACTAAAAACACAGCAAAAAATAAAGGGACCCAAAAATATGATCACTCTCATTCAAGAGACACAATAAATAAATATTTTATCAGATATAATTCTTCCACAATCTCACAGAATGTCTGCATAACACACTGAGCATACATGCAATCATGCACTATTTATTTAGGACGCAACAGGAGGGGAAAAAATCCTAAATAAGTTAACAAAATGTTTTGATACCTTTCCAAATGGCATAAAATAGAGGAGGGTGTGCAGACCGATCCATCCCAACAGAATCACAGGGGCCAGAGGGTCCCACAGCTGATCAGTGGAGGGGAGCTGAGGGGGCCACTGGAGCACACTGGCTTCAGGAGACCGACTCACACAGATCAGGAAGAGTACCGTCAATGGAAGAAAAAATGGAATGCATACAGCACCTGAGAGATGAATCCAGATAAAACAAGATGGCAGGATAACCAAAAAACCAAACAAACTACTGCAGCTCTATATCATTTACCCTTGACACCATTGTAACTTCTTTCATTTTACATAAATTAATACTTGAATATAACCAGCAACATGTAGAGAAGATTTCCTGCTCAAATGTATGTTTTTGTCAACAGAAACTTGAAAATAAAATGATGACAGCAATGTAAAAATGTGTAAAATCACATTAACTGTGAATTTTAGGAGTGAGTAATGCACTTTGGTTTTGTCTGATCACTCCTGCCAGTGTAAACTCTATTTCTACAAACTAAAACTTATATGCATGTTTATTTTTTGTTGTTGTTGTATTTTTTTAATTGAATGAAATAAATATAAGGGGCAAAAAGGCCTTTCAGTTTGATTGAAAATTATTATATACCCACATTTTAAAATAGTCAATAAACTCTTTTAAATACAGGCCATGGTGTTGATTTTTTTTAATTTTTTTACCTAGGGTTCCTCCGAACTCCCTTTCTGTATCTTGAGACAGCTTTTGTTTCAGTGCTTTGCTGTTTGGTCCCATTTTTGAGCACCTGTCAAAAAATAAATAAAGAAAAAAAAATTAAATAATCTATGATCATCAGTAAAATTAAACAATCTGAGACGTGATAAACAGTATTTAAGTAGTAAAACAATTAAGTAAAATTAGCATAAAGTGGCAGTTCAGTAAAAGTAATTTTCTATGACATCAATGGTGAACATTAAAGGGATACTCCACCTCAAAGTTAAATTTTGTCTATCACCACATTCCCCAGAGTTAGATTAGTGAGAGAGAAAAAGCATTTTGTAACCAGCGCAGTAATTCTCCTGGTCTGCTTTTGCCTAGCATAAACAATGGAAGTGAATGGGAACTAGTAGCATTTTGGTTGCAAATGACTCAATAATGATACCAATTATTCTCGTTGAGCTCAATAAACATATTGACTGCAAATGAAAAGTAAGAAGTAACACGAAGGATTTGCAGGAGCTGATTTAGACTTGGGGCTATATTACGACAAAGCACAGCTGTAACCCGCCTCTGCATTAGCCTGGCCTGCCAGACTCCTCCTCTGTTTAATTCTTCACAGAGAAAGGGTCTGGGAACTCTCCTATTCAAATAACCCCACCCCCTGAGAATTCTAACCGAGCCAGTCAGCGCTGAGTAGCGTACGTCACACACCACAACGCCGAGTTTGTCATAAACATGGCGACTGAACCGGAGTTAGCTGCGGCTCTTTCCTCTGTTCTAAATGACATGAATGTCTATAAAACAACAAGTAGAAGCGCCAAAAGCATTTCTTCTAATAAAAAACAAGATGTTTGCGCCATTGCCAGACGCTATTTTCATCTACAGCTAAAAAACTACAGCGTTGCGTGGTGCAGTCGGCATTTCCGTCTTTTTTCTGATTGGTTATTTTTGAGCTGGCTAGTCCCGCCCCTCAAGTGCCTCTCTGCCTGTGAGTTACCAGACCCTTTCCCTGTGCAGGATTAAACAGAGGACAGTCTGGCAGGCCAGGCTACCTCTGCATGGTGCATGGACATAACTCACCGGTCAAGAATAACTTATTTATACTTCATAAATTTATACTGTGAGGCAACTTTTATCCACTGGTTATTGTGAATAATAAACTAAGTTAATAAAACGTAATTTTTACTTTTCCTGAAAGAAAGAACACTACCTTTAAGCACCAATTCCTACAAGAAATTAAAAAAATCTGTTAGGATACTTTATTTTTATCTCAGAATAACAATTTTCAAAATAATTAGATATGTTTTCTAAATTTTTTATCTTGTTAATTATCTGTGAGCCACAATTATCTGTGAGCCACAATTTGTAAAACAGGTCAGAGCAAAAATCGACAGCTAGTACTGGTTCATAAAATCAGAACTGGTTAATTTCTATTCATGTTAATGATTTATTGCATAATGGAGCTTTAAGTAATGTTCATGCACATTTAAACCATAAATCTATAACTTATACTGTGCAGAATTAAACAGAGGAGGAGTCTGGCAGCATGATTTACATTTGTAAACATTTTAATTTTTGTCTCGATCAAGTCAAAACTCCTCATCAAAGTTTAAAAGTCCACACACACACACACACACGGAGTGCTTTACATATTTACCTTTCTAACATGTTCAAGAACCATAGAGAGATGAGTTCTTATAGTTTGCAAATAAAAACGCTTACCGGTGTAGTTCGCTACGGAGAAGTGGACATTAGAGCCTGTCCTCTGTGTCCACATCGTAGCTTACGCACGAACCCGCCCACAGTACGTTTTTTCCCTCTCAACAAATCAGAATCGTGAAAGGTCATCAGAAGAGGGTGGGGCAAACCGGCCCCAGCCAATTAGACGCGCTGGTCAGGTGGTAACAGATTGACAGAAATCCTTGACTGCCACCTGACTTTAAACTCCACCTCATGTTGTTGAAACCTTAATTTGACACAAATGACACAAAATTGGAAACTTTATTTTAAAAAAAATGGTGAAACCCAGGATTAAACTTGTTTATTGAAGACACATCTAGACCATTTCTCACCAGTAAACGTTTCTACATTCAGACTATAGGAACACAAACAAATCATTTATAATCAAAGTGCTGGATTTAGTGTTATTAGAAATAAAATAAAGGTCAGCTAATTATTCAGAGGAACAGGTTCATTGATCTTTAGTCTTTAATATTTTCTCATCAATACTAAGGTTTGCAATGATTAACATTTTTGATCATTATCAATGAAATTATCAATTAGTTCTTCAATATTTTAAAGTTTAAATATGAAAATGTCAATTTTAACTCTAAGCGAGCTTAAATTAATGTCATTTTTTTTCTTGACTAGTAGAAAACCTTTTGCTGTTAGGGCAGATACATGTTTTAAAGCTGGATGAACGGTCCCTTAACCTCTTTCACAGATGACTTCAATCACACTTTGTTCCATCGGAGAAGGGTCCAAGCAGCGGTGAGCGGAGCTTCCCACGATTTCATCCAGCAGGAAGTGTACAAGATTCTCGTCAGACACAAAGCGCCACAAATACATCTGCAGGTAGTGACAGTCCACCTGGATCTGCTGCAGACCGTAGCGGCCAAAAGTGCGCAGCCGGACACATTCCAGAAAAGTTTTCAAACTGATTTTGATGATTCCTGTCATCACAGAGACCTGGAGCAGAGGGAACGTGTGTGGGTGAGAAAAAGAAAATACGAAAGCTGCAAATACAAAAACTCAGAGTAAAGTCTAACAGAACACGCCCAGTGCTTGTACTCTGAAGTGTGTTTCATTGTAGACAGCTTCATGAGCAGCCTCTGTTCAGAGAAATAGAGCTTCCACCCTCAAGACTCAGTGAGTTTACATGAGCATCAGAAAACCAAACTTCCACCCCTAAATAGACTGACGTCAGCAGATACCGGTAACTTAAGGAAGTGACGAGACCGCAGAAGCGGTCTTCTGATAAAATAAGGTAAACTAGGATAAAGACTCATAGTTTATTACTTTAGATCGACCTGGATCGACGTAGATGTGCATGTAAACACACTGACTGATGAGCTAACAGCTAGTCTAACTGCAGCCAAGACCAAAACGTTAGCCTTAAAATAACAAAAATCTGCTAAATTTGATTTATTATGTTTGATGTGACATCATTTAAAATATTTACAATCAGTTCTGCATTACATGGTCGTTTACATCTATGGGTCAAGTCTGGCAAGAATTTTTCAATATTTCTGCCAAACCAGCCACGCAATGTGAAACTGGCAGCTGTGTAAAGGTTTTAAAAGTAACGGTGGCGGCATGAATGGATGCAGTTAAGTTGCACGCGAGGGAAGCAAGAAGCAACATTAGCATGTGGAAAAGTTCTCACAATCCCCACTTATAGATTTAAAAGTTTACTTGATGAGCCATCTACCGGTGAAGCAGAACAGGGTCAGGCGCTCACTTATCAACATTCCCCACAGATGGAGAGTTCTCTGATTGTGTAATTAGCATCAAAAGCTGCACACTACACACAAAGCTTTAGAGGAGTACTCACCTTGTTGAACTCCACTGAGCTGAATATGTCGATCCTCTCAGAAAACAGCTTGTGTATGTTGCTCAGCAGGTTGGTATCCATTGGAGCACTGCAGGTAAACAAAAGTCTGAATTATCTAATCAAACAAAGTTGGAATAGGTTTGCAAAAAAGAAGATATTAATTTTTCCTTCACATGTAGTCTGGGTGAGATGCCACGTTACCTTGGAGTGTAGCTGGCGGCGTAGCGGGCTTGCTGCCTGGAGCTACTATAGACAGAAAAGGTCCTTTTGCTGGAGTCGCTGCTGTGAGCCTTCCTCACACCTTCTTCATACAACAGACCCACCTAATGTAGAGGACGTTGAGAAAACAGGCTGTTACAATTACGAAAGCAAGAAAACTGTGAAAAGTCGCCTCGGCAGAGTCACCTGAACATCAATTGACGTGGTGTCCTCTACTACCCTCTTCATGACAGCACGGACGTTCCGTGGCTCGATGGTGTTAACCCAGTCGCGCGTTTCAACACTCTTCCTTAACATCTGGGAGATGATCAGACCCTGAACCTGGACCAAACGAGAAATATTATTACTAGGCACTCATAAGTCTCTAGACTCTAAACTGTTTTACTTGTTAATCATAAAAAGGAAAAGAAACAAACCCACCTTGACATAATGATTGAGTAGTTTCTGTGCCGCCTCTCTGGCTTCTGCGCACAAAGCTGTGACCGGTGTTATGGGACTGTGGTGCTGGAGGATAAAAACGAAACGTGAGCAGAACCATTCAGGACAGTAAAAAAGCACGGAGCTTTGGTTAATGGTGGTGTAAGACCTGCACAAGGAACTGTTCGTCTGTGAGTGTGAGGATGTAGGAGATGGTGGACGTTTCAAAGTCCAAACAGAGCCGGGACAGCAGCAACAGAAGGGCTGGAGGAGTGGAACCTCCTTTGTCTCCCGCGCTTTCACAAAAGTTGCGAGAGGACTGGCACACAAACTTGATGAAGCTCACCACCAGACTCTCGCGCACACCTTGGCTGCAGAATTCCCCCTGGGAGGAGGAGGAGGAGAGAAAGAAAAATAGCAGCCACATTCACAAAAGTGCAGAATCAAGGCACAGAATTATCGAACCGGCTGGTTTAAAGGGGAACACTCACCTTGAAGTACGGCTTATTGGAGAACGTGATGTCCTTAGCAGTGAAGAGGTGAACCGACGCCAGCACCGACTTAATCTGGTTGAGAATAGAAGCTGACAAAGAAGAGAGCAGCTCTGGTAGGCTAGTTGGTGCATCTCTACCCGTGACAGGTCCACCTAGATGTGCTGCACCTCCAGCCACAGAGAGCCGAGGCGTCGCCAAGGCCTGTCTCACATCCGTCAGGCTGTCCATGTAGAAGTTCTGCAGGGCACACAGGTACTGCTTCACACGCTCTGTAGCTGCTCTTATGACAATTTCTGTCCCCCTGTTGGGCACCGCCGAGCCTGGCAGCAGTTTGGACACAGCCTGTAGCCTGCGGTGGAAGCGGTCGAGTGCACGGACCAGGAGGGAGTTATCACTAACCCCTTTCTCTTCCTGTATCCTCCTCTCAACGAGTGAGAAATACCGGGTGGTCAAATCATCCACAAAGGTGTGCAGCTTACCATTTGCCATCTGAGGGATGTTCTTTGAAGCTAGTTCCCCTGTCTGAGCATGGCTGATGAACAGTTCTTGATAGGATGTAATCACTAAACATAAGCTGCTCACAAATTCATTGCATCCTCTGTCTATGAACTCCAAGATGTCTGTGTTCAAGGTGGGAGACGACAGAGAGCTCATCTTAGGGGAGTTATCAGTCGGAGATCCAGAGGACATGTTACCTGAGGATCTGCGTGTAGATGCTTCTTTCTTTGAAGCTGGGTAGGGTTTTATCTCTGCTTCTAGGCTCTGGAGATCTAACTCGAGTCGAGACCGGGCATGGCTAAGGAATTTATCACAGAGCTCCTCTGCAGGCTCGTCCAATTGAAGGAGCAGCTCCACACACTCAGACAAATCTTTGGCACTCGTACCGCCATCCCTTTGTGCACAGGAGAAAAGAAAGCCAGAGATCTCATAGGCAGTTCTTTATAATTAAATCAGTTTTTTGCAAATGGGTTAGGAAATTGGAACCTGAATTTCTGTCGAAGCTCCTGAGCGAGCTTCTCCATGATGGCGTGACAGTCATCCTGAATTCCCTTGAAGGAGGGCAGGTGGCTGTACTGCTGCAGCACGCAGCGTGCACGCCGGTGGAAGCTCACTGCCTGAGCATACGCCTGCAGCTCCAGACACTTGTTCAACCTCGCAGGCAGCTCAAACAGAAACTGAAGCTTCCTCAGCAGCATGTGGACCCCTAACATGGAACAAGACGAGAGGAACAAACATGAACAAAGTCTCTGAAGAACAATCCAAAAGACAAGTTGCAGTCTAACCTGAGAGTTTGGTGATCTGTGCATGCTGATCTTGGAGCGTCCCGCTGATCCGAACACTAAAGTCAGTGATTGCCGCCATGTTTGTAGACAGGCAGTCCATTTCATCTTCCATCTTTTTGAAATCATTCTTCATCTTTCTTATGGTGTCTAGCAAAAATAAAATAAAAGCATGATTGCACACATCCAGGTTATGACTTAAGCAAATGTGTGTGTGTGATGCTCCACTTACCTGTAGCAGATATGAATTTATTGTAGTTTTCATAGACCAGGGTCTGCATGTCGCTGTCCAAAGAACGGATCTGCTTCACCATGCAGGTCTCTTGGTCCATCAACTCAGCAAGAGAGCACTCCTTTCTGAGCTGTAATAGGACACAGATCAGTCAAAGATCATTTATAACTCACATTCAGGATACAAAATAAAATAAAATCCCCAATGATCATATGGAATTCTTTAACTACAGCCACACAGACTATGTCTAAAACATGACAACACTTAAAGCCAACAGCAGATATCTGACAGCACCTTGTTAAGGTACAGCTCCGGGTCAAAATGTGGCCCGTTGATGTCGCAGGGATTCAGAGACTCCGGTTGCTCTGGGGCCTTTCCTTCTTCATTCAGCCCGTAGTAAAGCTTCAGCATGCCGTGCACCTTTCGCCTCCTCCCCGACTCCTCCGACATCGCCACTGCGCCGTCCGCGTCGACATCCATACTGAACTCCGGCCAGCTGACAAACGGAACAAGGACACAGGCGACAACTTATATCTTCAATTATATCTTATGTCAGTTTAACTCCACTATCTGCACTAAATAACGAGTATTTTTGGAGCGAATATGCGAAAAATAAGACTATTTTTCTCTCAAATGAAAGCAGCAGATTGTTAGCCTTATTTCCGCTTTTGTAGCCAATCCAAGGTTACGTTCTCCGAAAGTCAGCGTAATCGGTCGTGCAGTACTAATACGCATGCGCGACAGCAGTTCACTTCCGCTACGTTTATTTTCACCCGTTTGTACAGCTAGATGGAAGCCAGCTATTGTTCATCAAAACATTAAATATCAACATAAAGTATTAAATAAAAAACACGAAATCTGTACTGAATTACACTAATAAAAGGATGAATAATTGTTACTAATATCGCTGATCTTTGTGTTGTTTTTCTCTTTGCTGATCAGCGCTTTGAGGAAAAGGCATATTTTTGTTGCGATTTATATTATTTTCTCAGCGAAAAATTCAAAACAATCAATACACATAATTTCAATCCCGCTCTTGCATTTGTTTGCACATTAATTGATCTATTGACATACCATAATTCATTTTATTTCAATCCACCACATCCATACAGCTTACAAACAATTAACAACATAAAATGAACAAATGCATCTGATATAGGTGACAAAGTATTTCATTTAATAGTAAAATAAATCTACAAGTATGAGTGAACAAACCAAATACTGATGAAGGAAAAGTTGAGTCATGAAATCAGAATAACATTCAGGTTTGGCTTCATTATTCAGTACTTGGGCTTTAGGTAGTGGAGTAACAAACACATCATGAGGGGAAATTTTTTTGATTTTACTATCAAATACTTAAACAGCAGAACTGATAAGACTGCAATGCACTTTTTAACATCAGTAGAAACGGAAAATGCATTAGTTAGTTAACTGTGTGGGAAATAAATAAATAAAAAAAATACATTTTTGACCACATCCAAGTGAGTACAAACAAAAAGGCACTTTAACCTTCTGCAGAGTAGCAGCTTGAAAGGGCAGGGTTCTATTTGACCATACTCTTCACTGTTATATACACAAACAAGAAATATGTAGAGGAGAGTAAAAATATTCTTTCAAAAGTTCATAATCAATATAAAACAGCCTGATGATGAAAAAAATGTGTGTTGGTATTAATAGTGCAACATCCTCTGTGTATCATGCTGGAATGCCTATTCTACAATGAGACATGCATAGTGTAGGTTAGCAACAACACACAGACCTGCTGCAGTTTACAGACAGTAGTTGGGCTTAAAGCGTGGAAAAATAACATTCTGCTGTTTGTATAATGAGATGAACCAGGGAGATCCTGACGCTGATCAGACATGTAGAAGGGAGCATTACAGAGGTGTGATCTTCTCGTCACAACCGTTTACCGAGAGGAGCCAGATTAATAAACATCTGAGTTCAAAAAGTGAACAAATGCCTCTAAAGGTAACATTCCGACGCAGCAGGTTCGCTTTACCGTGGAGATTCAACAGCGCGATGACCTGAGCTGTATGCATGGTTTCTGTCCAGTGAAAATGTCACCAACAAAAACTTCTGTAGAACTTGTAAATAGTCAAATTACAAAACAGTAACAAAATGTCAGCTTTTTACGAACACTAGGGCCCATTATTAACACGTCCACTGTGCAAGACAAATGCATGTTCTGGTTACAAAGATCTAAAAGGCTAGCCAAAACAGAGTTCACTTTAGCTACGTGTCAAACGTTGCATCAGTTTTCTAAATAGTGATCAATGTTTCGTTTTAAAACACAAGATCAAACCAGCCAGATCAAAGTTTTGTATTGCTTAAATTCCTTACATTTATTTGTATTTTTATTATTTCTGGAGATCTTTGAAACCATCCGTTTTCACAATAAGCCAAATATCCCATCGCAACCAACTACAAATCTCAAGTTTTCAGAACCAATTTAACTGAAAGTACTTACAAAAATCCTCCACAACACAGCCAGGGTGCCTCCATAACACCTGGTGTCTACCAGTGCTGTTACCCAGTGGCTCTGCTTTCATGACAAGGCACAGCAGTTAGAAAAAGCAGAATAGTGTCGACACTCGCTCTGACCGCCCCCTAAAATCTGTTTGTCATGCTGTGGGACGGCCGCTGAGAGGTTTACAGTTTGGAGAAGTTCAATGTTATACAAAGACATATTGCAACATTCTTGACAGTAAATAAGCCCAAAAGAGGTAACGTAGAGGTTAAGCTCCTCTGAAGTAGAACACATCTGTAGAAGCCAAAGTCTCGTCTGAATTAAAGATGATCATGTGAAGGATTTTCTCATAAAGCCACTTCAGTTCAGCCTTCAGAATAGGAGTTTTAGAAAGATTGTGTTCTTTTTCACATTACTGTACTTTCATTATGCACATGGCTTCAGGATAAATATAGCCACTCGTATTTGGTCCTTTGTTTGTTAATACACTTAAAGACAAAAAAAAAAACATTTGGAGTTCTCATAGAAGTCTCTTTTTTAATCTCAGTGTAAAAATGTTCAGAATTGGTCTCAGATGATCCAGAAGGAGATGTTTAACCTTGTTCCAGGCTCTCAGTCACCTGCACAGCAGAGTAGGACGGTGCCGTTGCCTGTCGGGTGAAAAACGACGCGGCTCTTTTCGGCTTCAAGCGTTTGATTTCCTTTCCTAAAAGATTTTCAAGAAATGAAAAAGCTGAAGGAATTTTTTTGATCTGGATCGTTCTCACCACAGTTTGGCCTCACCGTTATCCACGTAGTCGATGGTGTTGAGCGAGTCGACTCGACTGCACACAACGCTGCTTTGCCTCTGCAGCATCCCGCGCCGTCCTCCACGGCCGTTCTTGGCGCCGGCTTCTTGCTCATCGAGCTGCTGGGACAGACCCGCGTCGCCCGCAGCTCCTCCCTCAGACGCAGATCTCAGCTCCACGCAGAACTCAATGAACCCGCTCATTAGCTCGGCCTGGATGGGAAAACAAACCTTTGATGTTACATTTTATAATGTAATTGAAGGTGCACTGTGAGATGTATTCCTGGAGCATTTTCACCATATTGCTTGAAATGTTCTTCACATACTGATGGAAACTAATAAATGTCATGCTTTTTCAAAAAAAATTATATTTTTAATCAATCTTGATCCATCAAACTGCCCTCTGAATGGCCTTTCCCCATCTGCGCATATCCCTCTATCTGCACAAATCATGCGTTCTCGGCTTGGAGCAGCTGAACAAAGATTGAAGCCAGAGTCAGACAGCCTAGCTTAACAGATTCTTCTGTTTGCAAATTTAATTTAGGACGTTTGTTTTACATGTTCCGTTTAGAGTCTGGAGCTGTTCTTTTTGGGAAACATTATGTGACGGACTTGTTGTCTGGGAACACAGCCTGTTGTCTGTCAGCTGGCAGAGCCTTCAGTCAGTTAGGAGCCGGCACGGAAGAGGTGAGAAGTGATTGGGAGGAGTGATGGGGTGGGCTCTGGACGTTTTAAACTCTTTGTTAGCTTTTTGCCAGATTGTTGGTGGGGCTGAGCTGCTGTGATTTTTAAATTAAGAATAAACCAAGAAAGCTAAAATCTGCCTAATTTATAACCATAAAAACACAATCCTAAAATAGCTAGCATGCTAACTTGTTATTCAATTATGTAGGTGCTTAATGTTAGAAATTATGACAGAAAAGGTGCCAATAACAGTTGGAACAAGCACTCTAGTTCCTGTGCTCTGGAGGCGTGGCTTAGAGGGAGGAGCCTGAGGCGAGGGGGTTGGACCTAAAGAAATGCGAAAGCTTAAAAAAGTAACTTGCTTGAATGGAAAGAAAAACCTTGTATGCTGCACCTGTAAAGAATCGGAGAAATGTAAAATGCTGCTATCCAACAATTAGAAACCACGTCTCTAAACAACCAGACAAATAAAGCCTCTCCCCTTCTCTCACTTGGCTCTCCTGCACCAGTCTGACCCTCGGGCCAAGGATGAAATCCAATATCACATATGTGCAGACAGCTGCAGCCACAATCTGCACCATACCCAGACTATTAAGCTATTGAAGTGAATGAATTCAACATTTATTTTTTTAGGGTTCTTATGGCTTTGCCTAAATCAAAATCAAGCTCCTTTGAGCTCAGTTCCCAGGTTTTAACATAGGATGGGGCTGATTTACACAAATGAACCGTATATAAACCCTTAAAACAGCTATTTCACTTCCTTGCTCATGAAAATGATGTGTTTGTGTTCCTTTACTTGTTTAGAGTAGATCTTCAGTAGCTTGTTGACAGGAGTGCCATCTTCCTCTCCATCAAATTCCAACCACAGAATGTGCGAGTCCCCCTCCTCCTCAGGGTAGCTGTGGTCCCAGGAGAGCTCATTGAAATGCAGTCCCAGCAGCACGTGCTGCAAAAGAACAGGAATTTATGAGTAGAACTTTAATATAAATGTGTTTCTTCACTCTGACGTCATCTAAAATGAATCAAATATCCACCTTCTCCTTCACATCCATCACATAAACTCCTTTCAAGCAGATCCCGACATTTACAGCTTTGCGTTTTCCTCGGTGGAGGATCCCTTGTGCTGGTTTGTCGATCTCTCCGCAGAAGAAAGCACAACTGTCGACATATTTAACATTTGTTTTAAACAAATAATTGCAGGAAAGAAACAAAAGTGCAAAAGCCTTGTGGCGCCAAGCCGTACCCGTAGAAAGGCAGCATGTGGCACATGCTGAGGTACTGGTGCAGGAGCTGCCGAGGCTCCGGAGAAGTTCCTGCTGATGATCGGATCTTTCTGTACTCCTCCAGGAGCTTCTGCTCAAGCTCTGCGTGACGGCTCGACTTCCCTCGAAGCGTGGACAGAAAACCGCCGCTTCCCATGACAACATGAGCAGGCAGAAAAGAAGACAGCTTCTTCTCCCTACAGAGGTCAGAGGTTAGGTTACTTTGTTGTGATTATTTTCTGCTGAATCCCATGATGCATTGCAGAGCATGGACTTGTCTCAGGAATGTCCACTTTAATACACTGTCTCACCTTCTTTGTGCCCTTTAAAATGAGTATTATTGTGTGTACTTCATTAGAATAAACATGTGCATGAGTGTTATTAGGCCCCTCGTGAACAGAACAGGCACAGTTTATGCTTTAACGTGCCTGTGGTGCTCAGGACACCAGCCGACCTTTACAAACACGTGGACAGAGGCATAAATGTTGATTTTCTTTGTCCTGCTGTAATAAACTAGACCTCTCAATATCAAAACATGAGCAATCAGGCAAGAAATTTGTAGTTTTCCCCAAGTTCTGATCAAACAAATGAAGCAAACAATTTTAACTTGTTTAGAAAGAAAAAGCTACTTTTGCCTTTATCATAGAGTTTATTCCTGGTCTCTTACCTTATGGTGGTAGTGACTTGTTGGTCGTCTAGACTCGTTCCCTCTTCAAGAGCTAAAGTAAGGGCTCCAAGGGCCATCCAGTGCTCAGGGTCACAGGGATAGCGACCTGAGAGGATGTTGCTCTTGGCCTCCTCCTGCAGAAGTCTCAACACTCCTTCGTCATCGATCTGCTCAGACAACGATCAGGAAGTTTGCAAAAGAAAAAGTGAGTTTTATTTAATAAATCTAGGCCATTAGAACCCTTTTTTTCTAAATATGTTTTGCTGAATGAAACGTACCTGCGTCTCTTTTGCTTTTGGATAAAGCACGTTGCGTCTGTACTGCAGATACGGCTCATCTGAGGAAAACAAAGAAAGCCGTCAGAGTTTGATCATCTAACTAGATATTTAAACAAGAGATTCAGCCTCCAGCCCACTCTCCTCAGGCTGAAATCCCCAGACCGTGGGTGGGATTTACTTCACGAGTACATCAGGTCACACAACTAAGTGACTCTATACTTTTAGCGTTGAGCTGTCATCGTGTCCTTTGACTAGAGAGGTCACCTTCCTCACAGAGGACGTGTGTGAGCTGGTCCAGCCTGAGTGGGAAAACTAAAACCTCTCAGAAACAAAAGTCCACCAGGATGTGTCATCATTACTAATAAACATCTGATTTCTTCTGGAAGGATTCGTTCTGTCCTCTGACTGACAACGAGCTCATTGGTCAGCATCGTTTCTGGCTTCCCATTGGCCAGGAAATGTTTGGCAGGATCATCTCACTCAAATTCAAGACAACAAGTAATATATCACTGTGATTTACATTTCTTATGTACTGTGTACAGCGCCTTGGGCTCCCTGGCAGGGTCGTGGAAGGCGCTTTATAAATCAAGCTTTGATTGATATATGCAAGAGCAGGTTTTAGGTTTTATTTTATAGCATTAGAGTCCTTTTGAGAGCAAGTTAAACACATTTAAGGAGCTTTTTCAGAGCTAAAAAAAGAGTTTGGAGAGAAAGCAGGACAAGATCTGAGCCTAAACACAACAATCAGTGCTCCCAAATTTACGCTCCTGCTTAAAAGCAGAATATTAATCCCATAATGCATGCATTAGGTGGATTAAAACAAAATAAAAGTAAATAGCATAAAATTAAAGTTTAGCATTAAGCTTATGTAGCAGTGACAGTTTATAGTGATACAAATAAAATCCATTGAATAATCGAGAAACAGTCCCGAGATTTTGCACAGCAGTGAGACAGCAGAATATCGGAGTCTTTTATAAATATAGTTCGAGTTACAAGCGATGTAGACCTGAGTGAGAGAATTACCTGCAACTTTGTGTTTGACATGCCTGAGTACAATCGCAAATCACAGAGCAGTATCATGCACAGCATCTAAATTATAGGAGTCACTCTGAGTCATCTCAGCCACACTTACTTCCTAGAATGATTCAGTCATAGGAAGAACACAGAAGCATCCCATACAAACCAGCAGGACGAGAACTTTTGTGCTGCGAGACAACGAGGCTTATGTTCTCACCTTGTGAGATGTCCTCCTCTGATGCATCAGTGAAGCGATACAGCAAGTCCTGCCACTGCCTACATAACTTGTAAGGCTGATGCCTCATCTTTAGCTGCAGCTCTGCAGAACAAAGAAGGAAGCATAAAGTTTAGCGGCTTCCACTGAAGGTATGCATGCTCTCATTCTTAGATAACGTAACAAATGTAACAAAAATAAGAAGTTCTTGCCGAGCAGAGGGGAACAAAGCCAAAAGGCAAAAGCATCCTGCACAGACTCAGGAATCTGCAGAGCCTCACGAACACTGTGGCCCAAGTCCTGCACGGATACGCTACCAAGCCCTTCTAGTGATAAGTGAACTGCACTGTCACCGTACAAATACACAAGCACATCTTGAGCTGTGGGAACAAAGACCAGTTAGTCAATCAACACTTGAGAATACATTTAAAACTCTTTAATAGAAATGTGCTACCATTGCTGAGAAAATAAAGAAATGTAACAGTTAAGGCGTTAATTTGGTGTTCATAAACACGTTGCACCATTACCACGAGAAAGCGTAGCAGAGGAAGCAACACTTCCCCTTTGAGAGTGATTATCCGACAAATCTGGAGGAAAGTTGCAGTCGTCGCCCTCCATCTCTTATCTGAAACACAAAATCCAAATAGATCCATCAGAATGGGTGAGAGGGTTTTATGTAGCATTGATGCATTCTACACATTTTAATACCTCAGCATGAGGTCGTACATGACTGTAGACTTTATTCTGACAGCATGATGTGTTTATGTGAGCAGCATATAACTTTAAATAAAGGTCTGACTTATAGCAGCAGAACTACACATGCTACCTAATCCTTGTCTGACATGTTAGTGATGTGGCTAACTCGGTCCCGACTGGGAGCCAGCGCCACCAAGTGAATTTTAACTGGATATACTCTAAACTAACCCATTGTTGGTCTGATGTGGAGTAAGATTTTACCCCGACGACTGTTATTTAAAACATTTTAAAAACGAGTCACCGTTTTGCAGACACCGCCACCTCACAGCAGGTTAGATAAGTTTATCAGGAGGACTGTCATTGTCCCCATATGCAGAGTGACAGCACAACAACAGGGAAATATTCCCGGAAATGACCATCATCGTGTCTAAATCTAATCCTGTAAAATGGTCTGAGCCACAATACAACAAATTAGACTCCTCTACATACCTGACCGCAAAAACACAGACTTATTGACAGTAAATTGTCACTCCTATGAAACAAATTTGATCACCTATCTAGCCCATTAGCTAACTTGTTTTTAAAAAACTAAACACATCTGGTATTCACTCACCTGTAAGTAGTTCTCCCCTCGATGCTTTTACTCTGGATAGGATATTCTAACTTTGTAAATACTACTGGGTACATTAATCAATCAACGTTTTGCTCCAGAGGTTTTATTTTCTGGCTGCAGCTAGCCCGCTGCCTGAAAACTAGCTTTCCAGGCAGCTAATGTGTGATGACTGAACGAGTCGGATATTTTGAATCGTTCTTCTTCGGTAGGATGAACAATACATCTGGGGAGTTCACAACCTCAGGAATCCATGGGTTTATAATGAAAAAAATCATATAAACTATTACAACGACGGATAGTGTAAATTTTACGATGAGTAATACCCTTAAATTAGTCTAAAGGACTGACTATGTGAATCGAGAACCAAATGATCGAATCCCTAAAATGAGCAGAACTTCCCAAGGCGCGCCGTGGTCTCATCACGTGACCAAACGTCAGCAAACTGATTGTTGTGTTTATCTTCCGCAGGTATTCGCTGATTTGACGAGAATTGCCGGCACATACAAGTTAACGTACATAATAAAATAAAATAAAATAAAATTCAAACACAACTAAACAAAATAAATTAAAATAAACAAAACAAAACAAAATGAAATAAAATGTGTAGGCATGTACTATTTAATGTTACTGAGATTGATTTATCCAGAGTAATGTTTGTATTGAATTTAATAACAAGAGAGTTCAGTTTGAGCAGCTTCCTCACTCAGATTTGTCATCTCTTCATGGAGTAGAATTACTAATAATGCAAAACTCCATAAACTAAGTTTTTTTTATTTAAACAGACACATCAGCTATTAATAATCCACTGTGATTATTTGGCTTGTGTTTTCACAAGGTCACTCAGAGCTTGTGCCTAATTCTAGACACCCAGCCTGGGCAGGTCTCATCACAGGGACAACGAACAGTCACAAAATCACACCTAGGGATAATTTAGTGCCTCCAATTAGCCTGACATGCATGTGTGGGAGGAAACCCACAAACGCACAGGGAGTGTATGCAAACTCCATGCAGAAATGACACAGCTGAGATTAGAACCCACAAACATCTTGCCGAAAGGCAACAGTACCAGCAACTGCACATCATGAGTTTAATTTTTTTCATTAACAGACCTTAACAGAATTTAAATTTATATAATACAGCCTATAGTTAAGTGTTTTTCATGTTCATTCAAATTCCTCAGTAAGACTAAATGAAATAAAATTTCCTCAAATAAAAACACTGGTTGTTCATTTTAAAATATAAACAGCACATAAAACTATCATAGCACACTTTTCCATTGCCTTTAAGTAACAAGATATCAAAGCATTTGCTCAGCTTGCTCTGCATCATCCATCTACCTGACACAGGTGGGTAAATGCAAAGGCAGCAGGAGGAGTATTAGCATCATCTAATGGGTTTAGCAGCTTTCACAAAGGTGGCAGAACAGAGGACACAATTGACAGCTTTAATTGCATTAGAGACATCGCTTAATCAATCCACTTAGTTCAGGTTCATTCACCGACTGGCAGATGAGAGGTGAGCAGAGAGAAGCCTTTTGTCACAGAGAGGGTTAAATATCAAGTCTGTACTTCTTTTATTTACATCAGGAGGGAGAAAAGAAAAAATGAGTCCACTCTCTTGGTAACGTTAAACTTTAATAAGCCATCTGTTCATTTATATCAATGTCCTGCTGCACCGCAGAGCTTTTTGCCCTTTGTCTCACTACAGTCAGGTTTACATTTTTACTTTCATGAAACCAGATTTTTTTCAGTACACTGCCTCATCAAATACTGTCTTTTCAGTGATTGTGAAGATGCAATGGGGAGTTCACATCGCTTTGAAAAGCAATTACTGCAAACAAAATTGGTGAAATAATAACTGAAAATTTTCATGAAAAGTACATAACAGGAGAATAAAAGTTGAAGTAGAAACTGTGGTATTTTCATTTTTAGCATTTCATTCAATCAAAAACTGTTGAATCACCTGGTTCATTGTTTATGTTGTGTTTTTAATGGTAAAGGCAAAACCAGGGAGAAGTCATTGCCTGACAATAAAAAAAATATTAAAATTTATAATCCTTTTTTAAATGTGAATAAATAATGTTTATTTGTCTCTGGAATAATTATTTACAGGTGTGTGCATGTTGTGTGTTTCAGGCAGTAACAGGGGCCGTCTCCCCCTCCTGCACCTGGTTTTTAAGCAAGAGGAACTTCAGGACTGGATCGAGGTACTCCATGATGGTTTCTTTCACTCCCTTCTCCAGTAAGTACCCTTCCGTCTCAATCTCTGTGTTTTCATTCCCTGCGACTGCTTCCATGGCAGTCTGCAGGAAGCGCAGGCTCACCAACACGGAACCCTGTGGGTGAAGGAGGAGAGAAGCCATTTGTAAAGTGTTTTAACGTATCGTTCCAACAAGGAATTTAGTGTGTTTTTTGGATTGTAAATATTAAACTGATGGTAAAGAAACAACCAGCTCTGTCTGGAATCACTGAATGGCAGTTAAAACTGTATGTACCTGCAGGAGGAAGACTGACAACACTCCAGCACCTATGGTGTTCATCAAGCCCATGTAATAGTTAACCAGGGCCTCTCTGCAGCCTCGAAGGTAGATGTTGAGCTCCTCGGTTTGGTAGTCGTAGTTATAGTGAGCAGAGTTGTTGGTGAGCTGATACTGGATGCACGGTCGTGGGGAGCTGGGGTTGCAGCAGCTGAACGGGACACCATCCACTAGAAAACGGCCATCTACATTGCTCTTGATGCGGCTAAACAAAGAAAAGGGAAATGAAAAACAATCGTGATTGATTTTAGTCACAGATCAAGTGACATCTCTTTCCAGATGTGAAGTCCATCTTCAACATCTACTCACTCCTTCACTTCCTTGGAGCTGAAGTCAAGGTAGCGGTTGCTGATCCACTGGACCTCAAACCAGTCCCTGAAGTCGTTGTTCCCACAACACTGAAACTCCATCTGCAGGCGGTCGATGTTCTGCTTCTGGAAGCAGCGTCCTGGGGTGTCTGTGTCCTTGTAGAAGCGGATGCCATTCCTCAGGCCGACCTTCAAAGAAGACTCCAGACTGCTCGTCATTGCGTAGCTCATGATGACGGTGAGCAGCATGAGGACGGTGAAGAAGCAGGAGATGGCGAAATAGGGCTTCAAGAAGTTCTTCCAGCGGGGAAATCGTCCCGCATCCAAAGCGTCTTGGCAGATCTTTGATGCAAAGTAGTTGATGCCCAAAGAAGCCAGACCAACGATCATGAGGGTGTTGGGCACGATGTGTATGTCTGTGTTATCCATTACCTGAAGAACGGTCACAACCAAAACAAGACAGAAATTTCACAAGCCTGATGCAAGACAATGGTGCACATGTAGCTCAAATTGACAAAATGACAACCAGATATTTATGAACATTTAACTTCCACTAAACTTAGTCCATGTCTTCATGCAGAGGAAGAGCATCCAAATACCTGGACCACTGACTGAGTGCTGCTGCAAAAAGAACAACTATGCCACCAGCCCGGGCTTTTCACCAGGTCTGTAAATACTGTAAAATGCAATAGATAGGTTTTACCCGCATGCTTAATGAAGCATCCCATCCCATTGGGACCATTTCAGAAGCAAATCAACATCAAAACCTTCCAAACAGCTGGTCCAGCGAGGTCACAAAATCAACAGAGAATTGCAAGATCATGCATGGATTTCGGCAGTCCGTGCAATAACAAGCAAGGAGAAAGATGGCAGAGTCTCGTTCATTTTCTGTTCTGTTTACCTCGGCCAGGGAGATGTTACAAGTAATGACTTACTTTGTTTTATGAGATGAGCAATTAGAAATCTGCACGTGTCTTTTATTTAGAAAGTTGCAGGATGTTTTACCTGTTTGATTTCCTGTCTTGCCCTATCTGAACTGCTGAGTTTGACACGTTCTGAATTCGATGCAACACTACGTTTCAAAACATGCTGGTTTGCGACCGGTGGAAACACACCCATTGACTACACCGGCGGCCATAAGCAGTGTACTACACTTTGCGGACTTTACACGATGCTCACACATCTGGTGGAAAGCCAGGGTAAGTTGGCAGTCATGACTTATTGGACTCTCAGGCCCATAAACGTTGCTTGCAGCGATCTTTTATAAACAATTTTCCCCAGAACACTTGTTCCTGTGAAAAGATAGTTTTCCTTCCCACTGTCACCTTGTGCTTTCTCGGAAAGGGAGATTGAGTTGAAGTGAAGATTTGAAGCAACCTGCTGGTTTTCTTTTTAATAACAGAGGATTCTAATCTACTGAATCTCATTATATTACTAAACATTAAAAAAAATCTAATTCTGCACAGCATTTTAACATAACACGCCCGAGATAATTCACCACCAGAGGTTACATTGTAATAAATTAGATTTAAAAATTATGTGTTTAAAGTTAAATGGTGAAAGATATTACAGACTGCAGTTTCACAAAGTTTGCAAAACAAAACTGAGTCCAAGCTTGTTTCACAATGAGTGAGTGATAATATAATATTTGTTTATTTGCTTTCTGTTTTTATTTCAGTATTAAAATGGCATAAATGATTAGTATTTGATCTAAATAAGACAAAATAACAACGTGATACTTTGTCAAATGCTATGATGAACATCCTCTTATGAGGGATTAGTTTAATGAAGACTGACAGAGTGATTTGTTATGCTCCGTGGGTCAGTTGGGACATTTGCTGAACCACATAACAGTTTCACAAAATAATTGATCAGATGTTTCCAAAATGACTTTTTACTAGAAATTATGAAGGAAAACAGTCAGAGGTGAGAAATGTCAGCAATACCTTTAGTTTTTTTAAACAATGTGTAAAATTAGATTTTCTGAAACTGCATGAGCTGCAAACTATTTTCTATTACTTTTGTCATCTTTCGAGCAATGGCAGCTGAGATCAAATCTTTTGTTTTGAAAACTTAATCCTTCCATTATAATCATGTACAACACGAAGCCTCGTTTCACTACAAGTTGTCATTTTGAACGAAATATGGATTTCAAAAGGCCAAAAAAGGCCAGACATTGTTTACCTCTGCTCTCCTGCGGAGCTCTGTCTTCAGGAGGCAGCCCAGGGTGAAGGTCGTGGCCCCAGCCACTGTGGCACACCAGGAGAGGAGCCACAGCCCCTGAGCCAGCTTCACCCTTTTTTGAAAGGGGAACTTCATCTTCATGACCGCCATGGTTGCAGCGAGGGGATCCGAGTTTCAACGGGGGAAGAGGGGAAGGAGAACGTCGAGACGACGAGAGACGATGCTGTCTGATCTGTGAGACAGGAGGAGAGGTGAGGCAGGAGTCCAAGAGCTTAGGGGTGAAGATGAGAACATGCATTGCTGAATGTAAAAGATCCTTAGCAACAGGTAGGTAAAAGCTGAAACAGATAATAGCTTTGCAAAACAAATAAATAAAAAAAGAAAAGGAACATTTGTTTTAAAACCCTCGTAGGTTAGAGTTCTTGTCACTAAGCTCTAAAAGGACACCTTTAATGAAACTGATACTAATAAGACAAAATTCACCTTATTAGTGTCACCAAAAAGAGCCGAAAAAGTTTCAGTTATCTCCACTGACCACCGTTCACCTTCCTGTGTGCCACTCAGTGGATTTGGCACACTGGATCAGGTAAACCTGGACGCTGGGAGCGTCTTACTGCTAATGCTGACCTATCCTATTAAACGGGCCTGTGAATCCAGGCCAGTGTCGGCTCAGCACACATTATCATTCAGAGGGACATGAATTCAAGCCTTATTGAACGTGACAAGAAGGGACTTAGCATAAACCAGTATGGATGTGAGTCTGAAACTGTAGTTGGCCCAATCAGTATAAATCTGTTTCTTCTCTTTTTTGTTTCTTCAATCTGAGGTCGTTCACAGAGAGCTAAAACAAGTCAAATAATAATTGGCCGCCGTGTTGCCCTAGAAACCATTTCAATATGCAGAACAGCTTTGTTGCACAATAAACAAACTGAAAACATGGTTTTAATTAGCTTTATTGCTGTAGGCATAGCATAAACTTACATATCATTTCAATATTTGCTTTGTTAGGTTACTTATTGTAAACTACAGGAAAAACACACGGGCCAACATGATCTCACATTTTCATGACTGATACAATGTTTGTAGTTTGTCACACCACTACTGTGGATACTTTGTACAAAAGAAAACATTTTGGATTTTAGTTGTCTCGTTCAGCTGCACAGATCGTAGCCGCCTGAGGAAACCTTTCTCACAGAAGTTGGGAATAGAAGTGAGCACATACTAAAGAGTCACATTAATCAATGATCTGGTTTGTCAAGATGGTTTGAAAACACCGTAAGCGTTGTGATGACATTAAGTGTTAATTGTTCCACCCTGCTGTCATCTGTCCAGTTATTTCTTTACTTTGAAAATACGAAGTTATTGGTAGGATGGGGCAGAATGAGTTTTCCACAAAATCAAAGCTGTTTTGGTATCTACTTTTTATTGTCATAAAGGTAAAAATAAAGGAGGAAAATTATCTAATTATATTTGTATATTAACAGCAATAAATGACCTTCTATTTGGAGGTTTAGGAGGAGCAGATGATGTTCCAAAACGTGTATTCTCCTGCCTCCCGTTTTTTCAGAAAATATCAGCTCTAATAATCATATTTAAAGGTGTGGGAAACTCAATTAATCAATGCTTGTGCAGTGGTCTCTGGTAGGAATAAATGCCTTGCAAGCCGTACTCGGGGCAAAAAAAAAAAAAGCCCAGAAACGCCTGCATCAGCAGCGACAAGTCTGCCACATCAGAGGAGAGCTTAGCACGGCAGGATTTGGAGTTATTTCCTGATATTTGGACAGCTCACCTTTGATTGGATAACAGCAACACAACTCTTGCAACACTGATGTTTTATCTCCACAAATAACACAAGCCTGCAGGAGCTTGTGCCATGTGGTTGAGTTGCTAACAGTTAGCTTCTGCTAGCCAAGACGTCCTCTGCGGTTTCCTGGAGGTTAAACCAACAACACATTGTGAGTCAAGATGGGTGACTCCATGATTGTTAAGTGACAGTGTGATGTTGATCTGTCAGGAATTTCAAATCCTAGAGTTTCACCATCTATTTTCTATCAGAAGTGAATGCAGGAGATAGGTGTAGGAGACTATTTTAATGTTCAGCCAGTATGAAAAACTCAGAGTGGTCGATTATAATCAGAAATAATCATAAAAATTGTGAACTACACCTTTAATTTATCTGAGCATGAAAATCCCACTGTGAAGTAGGAAAAATAAACCCAGTCCGTTGTGCAGGATAAGGAGGATGCACTCTGGACTGGAGATTTGAACAAAATGAAAACCACTAAACCAAAATTTAAGGAAAGGACTTGATTAGGGATGATTTCATCCCTCAATTTAAAGATGACCAAATATTCCTCCTAAATGTGTAACATTCAGAGAATAAGCAGTGAGTCTGAATCAGACACTAATAGAGTGGCTAGCACCAGAATCTGAATCCCATGAGTTGTTGTGGATCAGCGGGAGCGTTTCGTATGGATGGAGGAGGTCTCCAGACCAGGCCATGACGTGGGAGATGCTCCAGGAACCGCAGATCTTGTTCAAAGTCTGTCAGGATAAGTGATAACAAAAGTGGTTTTTGTTTGTTTCTTAATGAAAGTAAAGTTTGAAGAAACTGTCACAATTTTCATGAAAATGTTTAATTTCTAATACTGACTGTGCCCATTTGTCCTGTTTATTCAGACTAATGTAACGTGTTTCCACTGAAAACAACAATAATTAAAAATGATCCCAAACGTTTGTTCTTTTTTTCAACAGCCATCGCACTTACGCCAATAAGCAACAGTGGGAGGAGCCAACCTATCAGGAAATACTGTTAAATTTGGGTTACGGTTAGGATTGGGGTGCATTCACGTTGAATGACTGCATAAACCTTTAAATCAGATGTATGTACATTAAAGACAAATACTGTAATTGTTATCAGTGTCTGGTCACAGCTGAGTTCGCTCCACATTCAGCGCTTTGTCTGAGATCCCCTCTGCCCAGACGTGCACCTCGGCCCTGCCTGGCTCCGCCCTCTCGCTGGAATCACACATCAGGTGTTTGAGCAGCTGCTCTGCTGAGTGCAGGCCAGCCATGCTGCCGTCCACCTCGTCCCCTCTGCTTCTTGTCAGCCTCCTAATAACCGTGTCCCTGTCGCTCCTCATTCTCCAGTGATGAAGGATCTCGTCGTCTAAATCTTCGGCGGCCTCGTCTGCTGAGTGGTGCAGGTTCATCACAGCTTCTGTGCCTCTTAGCTCTTTGCACACATGGTGGCGTGCCAGAGGGATTTCTTCCAGGCTCGCAGACCGGATCAGGATGGCAGACTTGAGGTTTTGACAGGCGGTGTCAGACAGATTTTTGAAGCCAGAAGGGCAGGAGGTGGTGTGCACTGGTGGTAAGAACTCGTTGTGAATGGTGAACTGGAGATGAGGGATCGGCAGTGGGTACGGAGAGTGTCTCCTGAAGATTTCCTCACTTCCCGATTCACTGTCTTTGTCCATATCTGATTCCTGGTGTCTCCATGTTTGACCCCTGTTTGCTCCTGTCAACATAAGTTGTGGGGTCTCCTCTCCCAGCTCTGACCAATCAGATTCCTCCTCCTCTGGAACCGAACCCAATGGCTGCTCCTGCCCAGGACTTTTCTCATTCTCATAATTGTGGTCGTCCATGAACTGAGCTGGAGGAGGGGCTATGGGAGGAACCGCTTGAGTGAGGGCATTATCAGCCTGAGACTGAAGATTGAGTTGGTGTGGCACTGAAGTCATCTGCTGCAATTGGAAATTGGAACCCAATAAAAATAATCGTGAAAAACTAAACAAATAAAATCACAAAATATGCTAAATCTAACCATTCCTTCTCAGAAACCCTGCTGGAAAAGCCAGCATATGTTGTGTTTTGGTGCTGGTATGCTAGTGCAGCATGGGTTACTGGTGAATGGATGCATGGGATGCTGTAGGTTGGATGCTGGACCAGCATACCAGCACCAAAACACAACATATGCTGGTAACTAACCATTTTGGTTAATGCTGGTCTTTCCAGCAAGGAAAGAAAACAAAACCAGAAGGAATACCAAATGTTTCCTGTCTTTGGTGATTATTTGTGACAAGTCATCCTTCTGCCTTGAATTTAAACAAAAAAAAAGTCAAAATCTCACATTTATTTCCTCCATGGTGTTGGCGATTTTTACATCAGTGAGCTGCTCGGTCAGCTCTGAAATACGCCAGTTCAACCTTTCCCGTTCCCCTTCCATGTTCTGAAGCTGAGGTGCAAAACAAGTTCAATATGTCAGATTAAGAGTCTCTTCATTAAAAAGAAAGGGTTTATCTGCTCTCTCACCATTAAGTGAAGCCTTTGCTCCAGAAGACTGTTGGTCTGTTGTGTGGAGGAGCAATCATCCTGGAGACTAAAATAAATCAGACAGACCTAGAGAAGTTATTCCATGAAGTTCTCTCAACTCATATTAGATCAGAAGATAGTTTTGTATAACAGATGCACATGATTATAAGGGATTAATTAGTTTTATAACCTTTTAAATCTGTCCATGAGGTTGCTGAGCTCCATGCGTGTCCTCTGAAGTTCAGTCTCCAAAACCTTTTGGCTGCTGATGAATTCCTCTCCTAAACACTCCATCCTCACCGCCGTTTTCAGCAGACTTTGGTGCAGACCTTCATTTTGGTCTTGTAGAATCCTTTGATGAAAATGCAAAGATGTTTAAAGTCCCAAAACTCTGGTTGAACTAATTAGGGATGCACCGATACTAGTATCAGTAAAAGTGAACCAATACCACTGTTCACCTAATATTTTAGTTTTGTGATAATGTCTATTGATATATTTTATTTTTTAATCTACCTCACAGTCTTTTCCTGTTGAAAATAGAGAAGAAAATAAAACCTATATTCCAATTCATTGCATTTCTTGGTGTGGTAGAAGTATCGGTATCGGTAATCGGCATCGGCGAGTACTCAGATCCAAGTATCGGTATCATATCGATTTGGGAAAAAAAGTGGTATTGGTGCATCCCTGGGACTAATGCATTAATTAAAAACAAACACAAAGGAATAACATTACACTCACGCGACTCTGCCGGGCTCTTGTGTTTTCTTTGGTATTGAAAAAAAAAACAAAGACAATGAAATTTTGGGATGAATAAATGAAATTTAAACTTTCTTTCTGTTTATTAGAAAGACTAGAGACTAAATAATGAACTGCAAATTAATCTGTCTGTTGTGGAAAATTGATCACATTTTGGCTTGTGCATCATAGCTAATCTATTGTTCCATAGCAAAGGATCTATATTCCATTATGACATGCAGGCACTCGCCAAAATCGATGCCAAAACAAATGAGGGAAACATCGTTACATAATGTGTTAATGAACCTAATAATGCTCAGACAGCTGTAGACTTAGACTTGTTGATCTTTTCTCAGTAAACAAGCTGTAATGGCAGAGTGAATGTATGAATAAAAACACAGAAATACCTCTTGTGATGGTGGCCCAGTGAATGCGGTCTGCTCCTCATCTTGATTTGACAGGCTGTTTGTGCTGCTGGGTGAATCCTTGCTGACAGGATTTTGGTGTGACGGTACACTGATGCTAGAAGTTACACGAGTGTGTTTGTCATCAGGCCGACAGTTCTCATACCTGTTGTGCTTGCCGGGACTCTGGTGTGATTCAGGGTGAAGACTTGTCTTATGATCTCCACAGAGATGTTCATGACACGATTTGTGGTTGTCTCCTCGTTGTTCTCCGTGGTGATGGTGAAAACCTGGACTGTGCTGGTCTCCATGGTGATGGTGATGAACATCGCTCTGTTGGGTCCCATGGTGATAATAATGGCCTGGACTGCATTGATCTCCACAGCAATGGTGAGGAGCTTCACAGTCTTCATGGAGATGGTGATGGGCCTCCATGTGCTGGTTTCCATGGTGATAGCGATGGCTTGAACTGTGCTGGTTCCTGTGGTGATGATGGTGGCCTGTGCTGGGACGGTCTCCACGATGATGGTGATGACCCTCATGGTGTTGGTCTCCATGGTGATGGGAATGACCTGTGCTGGAATGGTCTCCATGATGATGGTGATTGTCTCCACTGTGGTGATGATGAGTGTCTCTATGAAGGTTCTCATTGTAATGTGTGAAGCATTCCCCTCTGTGGTCTCCGTGGAGAAACCTGGACTGACCTGGACTGTGGTGGTCTTGCAAGTCATTCTGAGACTTGCTGTGGTGATGCTGAGAGTGATGCAGATTGCTTGGACTGTGGAGATGTCTATGATGAAGGTAATGAGTTTTTTTGTGGACTCCATATTGAGGCATGGCTTCAGTAGACTGGTCCCTGTGAGGTGGATGATGACCTTGACTACGGTGATGGTCCTGATGATAAAGATGAGAAGGTCCAGTCTTGTGAATACCTTGGTGATGATGATGATGAGACTCTCTGTGATGGTCTCCATGCTGATGCTCGTGTGTTACATGATCTTCTTGGTTACCGGTTGGGCTGTGGTGTCCATGGCGACATGGTGTTGTCGGCCTTGAATTCGGATTGTTGTGTTGATGGTGACCTGAACTGTGATGGTCCTCATGATGATGTGGTTTAATGTGGTGGCCTCCACAAGGATAACTTGGATCATAGTTATTTTTGTGGGTTTGAGCATGGTCATGATGAGATCCACAGTGATGATCTTGACATTGACTTCCACCTCGGGGCTCGTCAAGGTGATGAGCTTGGCTGTAGTGGTCTTTGTGGGGCTTTTCTTCATGAGAATGTGATGTGTTGTAATACGGGGGACTGTGATGATCTTGGTGTGAAGGACTATGGGAGAGTCCATGTTGATGATTTGTAGTGTGGTGGTGTCCATGGTGATGGGGATGTCTTGGGTTAGGGTGGTGAATATGGCATTTCTTTCTAGAAGGCAAATGGGACTGATGGTCTGGAGTTGGAGACCATGAGCGAGAGTTTCTAGGCCTATGCTTCATATGAGTGGGTGAAAGTGAATAACGGTGGCCGTAGCGGTGAAAAGATTTAGAGTAGGATAGTCGAGAAGAGTGAGAATGCCGGCTTGAATGGGAGTGTTTGCTAGAGCAAACAGACCCTGGACTCACAGGCCGACTTCTCCGCCGCCTTGGCCTATCAGTGTTGCTGTCTGTCTCCCTGGACCTGGGGGACACATGCCCAGGACTGTGTGCGTCTGTAACCCCCAGAGAGGTGAGTCTCATGGGGCTGAGAACCTGTCGAGTAATTTCATTAAGGAAGGCAGAAAATTTCATTTTTTCTTTCCGAAAATTCTTCTTGGCTTCACTTGTGCTGTTCTCCTGGTCACCTCCATCCCCTGTTCCACTCCCTACGCCGTCTTTAGCAGCTGGGAGATCTTCCATTGATTTGGCTTTGCGGAAACTTCCGTCAGTTCCCCGTTGATTTGTGCTTGTTTGTTTATTTGTCAAGCCTCCCTTGGCAGGGCCATTGGAGGAAGACTTCCCCATGTCTCGTTTCTGTTTGGCAGATGACCTATTTATGTTGCCTATTGCATTTATCAGGGGAGCTGTGTCATCATCTTCTTCAAAGAACTTGTGTTTCCCAGAGATGTCAGAAAAAGACTGGGAATGCTGGGGTCTCCTGGGATGGTATCTGTCTGAAAATTCACTGCTGGTCTCAGAGGACAAGCTAGAAGAGGAGGAAGACATAGAAGAGGTAGAAAAGGAGGAGGAGGATGAGGAGGTTGTCAGAGAAGAGGAAGAGGAGGAAGATGACAGTGATGAAGAAGATGAGGTTGATGTGGAGCCATTGGTACTTTCTAAAGCAGAAACATGATGATGGTTTTTCTTATGCTGGCCACGGTGATGGTGGTGATTCTTGTTGTAGTCATGCTGGTTTTGGTGATTTGGTTGAAGGTCAGTGGTGTCCTCTGCTGGATCGGTGCTTTTAAGGAGATAAAACAGGGGTTTCAAGTTCATGCCACAAAAACAAGAACCCAGTTAGATTTATGAAATTCCTTTAGGAAAATAATCTTTACTATGACAAAGCTTCACAGACTTACTTATGACCATGGTGATGACGATGTCCTTGGTTCAAATGATGCTGCATCACGTGTTGAGATTTAGACTTGGGCGTCTTTTTGTGCTTGTACTCTTTTTCATGATGGTCACACATTTCAGACTTTGGTCTTGATGCCAACCAACAGGTCTGAAATTGTTCTTCATAAACTGGTGCTGCAGCTGGTTGACACAAATTTAGGCCCTGGTAAAAAAAAAAAAAAAAAAAAAAAAAAAAAAAAAAACAGCATTCTTTAAATAACAAGTTTTATTTATCTGGAGTTTTATTGATTTCTGATACCTAATGAAAACTTACCTTACAAGAGCTTTATTTTTAAACTGCTGTCATTTACTGTTGCCAGCAATCTTTTACAGAAAAATGGGCTTAGGGTTATGTGACATGCAGGGTATACAATCATAAAGCATAGAATAAATAATTTATAATTTTTGTTTTTAAACATAATCATCTCATGATCAGTGTGCGTACTTACGTTTCTGTGAGTGGAGATGCACCGATTCCCCCTGCTGCAGCTGGGAGACACATGTGCAACATAAACAGACTCGTCAATATATACTTGTGTGCCGTCCAATGACAGAAGAGCTGGTGGCTGCAGGCACGAACGATGCACTGCAGGAAGGCTTATGCAAGGGTTGAAATAAACTATAACTATCATCCTTGATAATAAAGGAAGCATGATCAATGCAGCGTGTGACATGTTTTATAAACACATCTAAGTCAACCCTTGTTTTGAAGAATTAAAAAAATTGAATTCAAGTCTCTTTTGAGATATTCTCTTCTAAATTTCTAAAATCTGCAGTAGCTACAACATTGCTCAGCTCTCCATTACAACATAGTTGTTTGTGAAAATTTTGGGACTGACAAACAGGTTTTTATGAATTTTTTACAAAGTGATCAAACTCCATCATCTCAGATTATGATTTAAACTATTAGAGATGCTCCATGCACATTACGCTGAGTGTCACAGCAACACTCTTTTGATCGGTTTTAAAAATCCAACATGTTTGTTTTTCTCAGCTGACATCATCTACCATAAATACCATCTTGTGTTTCTCAGTATATTCTCACTTATCAAAGTGTCATTTCTAGATGCACCAGTACATTCTGTATATTGCAGTAATGTAAATGTATTTGAAGCAGAGAACAGCGTAGCACGTTGACGACAAAGTCAGATTATCGATAAGGATGTCCCTATTATGTCAACGCCATGGACAAGCCAATAACTCAGTTACTGAAAACAGCATTGAACTCCAATAGGGTATAAAAAACAAATCAAAATGTTCGGTCAAAACACTCTTTTTTTTCTTTTTTGTTGTTTGAGTCAATAAATATATCAAACTATGAAAAATTATGTTGTAGTAAGTATGAATGCCAGACCTGCTCTTTTCTGTAATCTAACGAGCATAAATACATCCCAGCATCGGCACAGCTGTGACTCACTGACGATCAATGGCAGAGCCCTGCTGCTGTGACAAACACAATGGAAAGTTAGGGGAGAGTCAGCTAACACGTCATGTGGCGGTAGATATTTATAACAGTATCAACACTTGAATTTGACAGGGCGAGTATTTCCAAGGACAGCGTGTGACGGGACAGGATGGAAAGCCAACACAGCTCTCCTCACAAACAAGAGTGTGAATGTTTGCTAAAAATAAACAAATATGAGTATTTTCACGAACTTTTCAAAGCACTGAAGAGGAATGTGACATCATGTCTGCCTCGACTCCTTACAGCCATGGCCAAGAGTTTAATGATGGCGATCACTCCACGCACACACGATCTACTGTATTCTAGTGCTGCCACAAGACAACCTGCAGACGATTGCAACGGTCCTCCGGCTGACTTAAGTGAGTTTAAGAGGACGAGGCCGGAGACCTTCTGTGATTCTGACGATGTTGGATTGGCAGACAGGAGATCCTGGAGGATACTACATTGGTATCAGTCAATAAATATAATAATCACTCACTATTTAACATCTCCACAGTTGATGTAAATTACGCTCCAATATCCATGTTCATTCCAAAGCCTGCACCAGTGTTTGTGGCAATAGTTCTTTTTTATGAAATATAAACAGGCTTATTCCGTTTGATTGGTGCAGCAAAAATAAAGAGAATTTAGCATTAATCTAAGATTTCAACCTTGGACAAAATAAATACACTAATATTTTATATCTCCCGTTTAATGTACAGTCAAAAAATTCAAGAAAATGTGCATACAGTTTATCTGGAAAAGCTAAAGCCAAACCACTCTGTTTTTTTAGAAGGAATTCTGATGCTCATAGTAGTGTAGCACATGTAGAATATGTCTGACTCCAGACATCACATCACACCAGCGGGTTCAAACTGTTTCATTGTTCCGCTGCAAACAGTGTAGGACACGCTGACACTTCTGCTTGCATGAGTTGCATGTTTCCTCAACATCAACGCTGTATTTAGAAAAAACAAAACCATTTAACTCAAATTTCACTCAAAATGTTACCAGAATTAAGTATTTCCCCTCATTAAAGCAACAATAACTGGATAAATAAATTCTGTTGGTCACTGTTAGTTTGTGGATCACAGGAGAACTGCTGAATGGTGCCATGAATGTTTGTTTACACTCTGAAAGGTCCTGGCCAGCTCAGACTGGCTAACCAGTCTCTTAAAGTTGAGTAAACAGCGCCCTCTGCTGGGCAGGTAGTGTTTTTGAAGGTCCCACTTCAGTCACTTTATGGAGGTTTAAAGCTCTCATCAGTTTTTGCCCACACGAATGTTGGGGTTAAGAAGGGGATCTAAATTGGGGTCTGAACCGGCCGAGGCACGTCCAAGTTTAGCCATGATGATGATCAGTGTGAAGAATCCCAGAACTCCAACCAAAAGAAGCATGAAGACTCGCTGTTTCCAGGAAAGAGATGTCCGCTTTCCACCGATACGATTCCTGAAAAGATCAAGGAATAAAAATAAATCTGACATTCAAAGACTTTTTCCCAAATTCTAATGTAAGATCTAATTTCCACATACATACACACGCGCGCACACACACACACACACACACACACACACACACACACGCGCGCACACACACATATAAAACAATAACAGTAACATAAAACTAACTTCAAAATCTGCGCAAACCAACTCAGCGCCGGTCGCCGCCGGTACTTGTCATCGTCAAAGTCAATCTGTGTGACCGAGCTGTAAGCAGCGTCCCGTGTGTCGTAGACCTTTCTCGGTGATGATGCTGCACCAAAAAACAATGATCATTCTGTGTGTGGAGCTTCACAAATAAACAATAAAATACTAAAATCAAGATTATCACAATTACTCAATGAGTCAAAAACTGCCAAATTATTTGTTTCGGATTAGCTGAAAACATAACCCAAATGATGTGATGCGCCTCGTCCAAGCTTAGCTTTCCACATTCATCATTACATATGCAGAAAGAGTTATTTAAACCTCCTAAAAATGAAGTAGAATTATAGAAAGCTTGGTGAATATACCTGTGTGTAATGTTACTGTGTCACTGGCAGCAGTTGTAGTGAAGTTTATCACGGAGTGCTCCTTTATTTTTGGATCCCCATTTTTATGAAGCCCTCCGACGTCGTCCTGTGCTGAAGGTGGGACAGGCAGTGGGCTGAGGTTGGTGTTGAAAGACTGACTGGGGTACAGCTCATTGTTTTCTTGGGCTGTAGAAAAATAACGAACTATTAAAATACATTTAAATCCCGTTAAAATGACTTAATTATGTGGACAGATCAGGGATTACCATCAAATGTTGACCAGTCTGTGTAATCAGAGACATCATTAGCTCTGGACTCTTCAAGGGTCCTGACAGGTTCTTCAATCTGTCAAAAATTCCATTTAAACATAAACAATTAACTAGATGTTGTTTTAAATAAAAACAAGAAAAGTATTAAGCAGAAGCCAGTTACCAGTGGTAGCCCTAAACCAGCCCGAGCCCAGTTGACAGATGACAGCTGCTGTTTCAGCACATCAGCCACCGGGCTGGCTAGATTAGACGGTGGGAATACTGGACCCTGACAGGTGGGGCACTGGTACCCTGCTGGGGCCGTATGGAGGGGCAGCCGACATGCCAAGCTATTAAGACACGCCCAATGAAACACATCTATAGCCAAAAAAAAAAAACAAAAAAAAAACTTGGATGTAAAGCATGAACTCATTATTTATGATGTTTTGGAAACCCCCCCAAAAGATGTGACAACGTTACCGTAGCAGATCAGTCGGACTGTGTCTTGTGTGTTCAGTGGATTATTGCACAGAGAACAGTTTGGGTTGTAATCGCTGTCCTGAAGCCACTGCAGATAAGACTGCACGATGCACTGGAGAGCAGCACAGTGGAACAGTGTGTGTTAGCACAAAGCTGCAAGTTCTGAAAAAACGTGCATCCTGGGATATGGTGTAGTACCCTCCCTCCACTTACCTTGTTGTGGTTAGAAACAAGGCAATGCTCGCACACGTTCACACGATGTTCAAAGCAGAATAAGTTGGTCACCTTTCTCTTGGGACACTTGCAGAGACCCATAGCCACAAGAGCTGTGTTGAAAACAGAAGCAATGCGTGTTTTTATAAAACAACAACATCCTCAGATCGAGTCCTGACGCTCTAAATGTCTTTTATGTTGTCCAATACTACCTCTTTCAGTAAATTAAGAATGCAATACTCAAAAAAGGCTCTAAATAGGAGATTGAAGCAGATAAATATAATACTTGACCAGTCAGAAACATGCAAACACAAAATAATTAAAGCCTTTACATTTTGCCTAATTGTATGCACATAATCCAAAACTTAAACGACCCAACAAAAGTAAAAATACTGAGAACATTCTCTAAAAGTAAACAATTACATGCTCAGAACAATGATTAACTCTTGGATCGACAGGACAACCACTTGTTAGAGCACATTTGAGTTCCTTTATCTAAATGACGCACCAATGAACTGAAAACAACGGGGGGAAAAAGTAAAAGAAAAATACAAAATAAATTCTAAAAATAACATAGAAATGCCTAATTAAAGTAAATTATTACCTTGAATTATCAGATTAATAATACTATTTTTTCATCATATTTTATTACATATACCACACTAACCTTAATTGCACATTAATAAAGTGCATAACAATAAAAAAGCTGTCACTGCTTTGTTATGGTGTAAAAGTTTAGCCTAGTGAACTAGATCAAATTCTTGCTTTGCAAAGTTTGAATAATAAAAATATTATAATATAATATAAATAAATAATACCTTTGTTTAGTCTGGCTTGCCAGGCTAGTAAAAGTTAAAAGAAACTCTAAAAAGGGCTGAATAAAAAATAATCTAAGAGAGAATGAATTGGTGCTAATGCCCATTTATAGGATGACAACAGTGACAGGAAGCTCCTTAAACATCGCCTGACCAGCCAGCCCCATGCTTCCTTGGTTCTCTGTGTAGAATTAAACAGAGGACAAGTCTGGCAGGCCAGTCTACCTTAAACAATCTGGAGCCGAAAACCAGACCAACATGTTATTTAATCTGATGGATTGGGGGGTGAATAACAGAAATCTGAGTTTTTGCTGTGTTCTGACCACATGAAGAACACTGCATAGCTTTAACTCAAATCTGAAAATAAGTTAGCTGAAGGCTGCAAAAGTTCACATTCCTTTAACCATTCCTCATACCCACTTTTGTTCCAGTCAGACTTTAAAATAAAGAATAAATGCACAATTTGGATATTAAAGCATAACTTCATGAATGGAAATCAGACCAAATCCTAACTGATGGTACGATTCAAAGTCACCGACTTATCTCAAAAAGATGTTCCTGTATTGTAATGATTACAAAATACTGGCCAGATCAAATCTGATGCTTTTGTGCAAAAACATTTTTTGAAATTTAGGATAAGCATTAAATACAAACATCAGATGATTGTACACACATTTGAGATTATGATAGAATTTTGGGAATAATTAGATTCAGCTCGATCTGATTTACTCTTATTTAGAAACAAAATTAATTTTATTTAAATTCCACGTGACTGGACTCCCCGGGAACCTACACTAGGATCCTGTTTGTGGACTTCAGCTCTGCATTCAACACCATCCTCCCTGCTCTGCTCCAGGAGAAGCTCTCCATGCTCAACGTACCCAGTTCCACCTGCAGGTGGATCACTGACTTCCTGACGGACCGAAGGCAGTGCGTGCGGCTGGGGAAGAATGTTTCCACCACTCAGACTATTAGCACAGGATCTCCACAGGGCTGTGTACTTTCTCCTCTACTCTTCTCCCTGTACACAAGCTGCTGCACCTCGAGCCATGACTCCGTTAAACAGATCAAGTTTGTGGACGACACCACCCTCATCGGGCTCATCTCTGATGGTGATGAGTCCACCTACAAGAGGGAGGTGGATCGGCTGGTGTACTGGTGCAGCAGCAACAACCTGGAGCTCAATGCTCAGAAGACAGTGGAGATGATTATGGACTTCATAGCCCAATCTCTCCCCCTCGTCCTGACGGACACCCCCCGTGGACTCCTTCCGCTTCCTCGGAACCACCATCACACATGACCTTAGGTGGGAGCCATCCATCAGCTCCCTGCTCAAAAAGGCCCAGCAGAGGATGTACTTTCTGCGGCAGTTGAAAAAGGCCAAGCTGCCGGCCCAGATGATGGTGCAGTTTCATTGAGTCCATCCTCACCTCCTCCATCGCTGTGTGGTACGCTGGAGCCACAGTGAGGGACAAACATGGACTGCAGCGCATTGTGCGCTCTGCTGAGAAGTTGATTGGCTGCAGCCTTCCATCTCTCCAGGACCTGTACGTCTCCAGGACTCGGGGGTGTGCAGGTCAGATAGCAGCTGACCCTTCTCACCCGGGACACAGACTTTTTGAGCCGCTTTCTTCAGGCAGGAGGTTATGGTCCATCCGGACCAGAACCACCCGCCATAAGAACAGCTTCTTTCCATCTGCCGGTGGACTTGTGAATAGCTTATGAACACACAACCATGCTGGTCTTCTGTACTCGACACAACGTCACGTTATCGGCCATGTTACCATTACCTGCCATTTTTATAGCTAAAAGTTTTATTCTATTTTTATTCTTATTGTGTGTTCATGTTATATGTAGCACATTAGTACCAAAGCAAGTTCCTAGTTTGTGAATTGTTTGTTCACCGACAATGGCAATAAACCTTTTCTGATTCAGATTTATTTGATATTTAGTGTTTTACTGCACTTTGAGACTGAAAGTTGAATAAAAGTGCGAATCAGAGCTAAAATGCCTGCTTGTGCTTTGGGGCTTCTAACTTTTATTCCAAATCCTGAAATAGACTATGAATACGTTTGTCATACAGTCGTCACACTGATGGTACATAGTGGGAAAACACCCTTATCGAAGGCTAACTTGTACTCAAATTTATACTTACACGGGTGAATACGTTTATACGATTTAAAAACAGTCACCATAAATATATTTAATAAAATGCTATAAGTTAGTCTGACTTGTTTAACATCTTCTGACGGCTAACCCATAGCACCTATCAACACTATCAGTTAGCTTAGCTGCTAGCTGCCAGGTGAGGAAATGTTAGCGAGCTAATACAGCTAGCCAGAGGAGCTAAGAAAGTTATAGACGTAAATATTACCTGTCACACCGACATTAATCACGATCCGTATGTTTTAGGTGATGATGTACGCTGTCATGTAAACTGCCTGGTCAAAGCAGTACTGGAGGATATCATCATAAACCTGGAGCGACTTCTTCTTTCCTGTGTTTATGTGCCACGTCTTTTCCACGTTCACTTCCTGGTCACGTGACTTAAATATACATCTGAACATGTAAACGCTGCCCCCTACTGAGCTGGAAAGCAATGTATTTAGTTTATTTGCAAATTTTTCATTTTTTTATTTTTGACAGGAAGTAAAAACAAAAATAAAAGACACATATAAAGACAAAATTTTTTCAATGTATTCATTTGTTTGTTTATTCATTCATTTGATTATTAGACCACAGATGTTCGAATTAGATAAACAATTAATTAGATCAATTTAATTTGTCATTCGGATCAGTTTAAATACATATTTACTCACTCTAACATTTTATAAACTATTTTAGACAGACACTAATAAGTCCAGTTCAAATCAGTCACAAATAGTATGACTTCATTTGAAAGCTGACTGGATATGCAGTGAATTTGTCCTGATTTAATTCCTTTTTAAACTAGTTTTTGCTTTCTCTCTTCTTTGAAAGCTCCTCAGAAAGAACAGGTTGACATTGACAAATCAGCTTTATCCTTGAAGATAAAGATGTTAACCTTTCATCTGTTGTGTAGCCACCAAAATGTTGACTTATCGATCTTTTGGAGCATTTGTGAATCTTTTTAAGTAGACGATCAATCAGGGTCTGCTTTAGGTCTGTGATCATAAGCTTACAAATGACTGTTGTGGCTGGATAGTGGAAGGATGCTGGATTGTTAAAAATTACTGTTCTCTTTCATTTTTGCTGTCTTAACTCCTTTGACTTGTAAATGTCTGCAAAATGACAAACACACTAACAAAAACAAGACAAATAGAAAGTAAGAGAGTGTCTTACTTTTATTTAAAAGAAAAGGTAAATTGAGATTCAATTATTCTGAATTCTTGCTTAAATTTTCTCATCCTGCTCGTTAGCATTCAACACAAGCTCAAGCCCAGTCTGACAAGCAGGTTTTTAAATGCATACTAATAACATCAAAGCATGGCCTATGCTGCCTGGTAACGCATAGTGATGGTTTTAGTTCTCTTTACAGTTTCCATGCATGCTTGTTGATGACAAAGCTGGACCTGAGAAGCAGTGTTGTTTCCTTCACAGCTCACAGCTCTTGAGACTTGCCTGTAGAGGGAGAGCAAAAACAAGGGATGTGTGTTTTTCTGTAATTCCACATGAAAAAACGTTTTTTTACGGTGTAAAAAAGACCTTATCCAATTTTGACAAACACGGAGAAAATGAAATAGGTTAGTCCTGACTTTATGTGTGCGTGTGAGGCCCTTTCACCCTCAGTGACAAAATGAGAATGAGTCTAATTGACTTTGTGCAAAGGAGCATGGACCTGTAGTGACAAACAGGGACAAGTATAAATCACTGACGGGTGGTAAGGGCACATGGAGAGACCAGAGCCTTCAGATGGGAGACACGTCTGAAGACAAATGACAAAGGCGCTGGAGGACAAATCAACCCCTGAGGTGCTGCAGCTGAACCTTAAACAGCAAGTGAGCGGCTAGCTGGGTTAGACCGGGGGAGGTTATCGACTGATCGAGTCTGGCAGGTATTGATCAGCTATCAGCTCTATCTTTGGGAGAGAGCGTTAAGATTCAGAATCTGTTACCAAAAGTTTTCATTAAAGCCTTCTGAACACATCTATGTTAATTCAGCCACGCTGCATTTACATCACGACCTCTAACAGAGCTGGCTGGACCATCATGCCTCAAGTAAGAGACAATATGATTAAAAAATACCAGAAAATCACATTGCCTGATTTTAAAGAATTTATTTGCAAATAATGGTGGAAAATAATTATAACTAACGTCCATCTCAGCACTTTGTTAAATATCCTTTGTTGGCAACGACAGAAGTCAAATGTTTTCTGTAAGTCCTAACGGGGTTTTCACACACTGTTGCTGGTATTTTGGCCCATTCCTCCATGCGAATCTCCCCTAGAGCACAGATGCTTTGGGGCTGTCACTGGGCAGCACAAACTTACAACTCCCTCCAAAAATGTTCTATGAGGTTGAGATCTGGACACTGGCTAGGCCACTCCAGCACCTTGAAATGCTGCTTATGAATCCACTCCTTCGTTACCTGGGCGATGTGTTTGGGATCAGTGTCATGCTGAAAGACCCAGCCACTTTTCATCTTCAGTGTTCTTGCTGATGGAAGGTTTTCATATCACATCGTGGAGAACTTGCACAACTGGAGGCTGACTAAATACTTATTTGCCAAACTGTATATTGTTTTTAATTTTGCACACTGGAGAATTACCTATTTAACCTCTTGGGACCCAAACTTGTATCTGTTGTGATGAAAAAAAAAATCTGGCTATTACAGATTAGTCGACTGTAATTACCAGAAACAATTTTACCAAAGTTAAAATAGGATAAAAGTAAAATAAAACTGAAATCTCAAACATCCCCCAAATCAAAATACAACAATTGGTTTTTAAATAAAGGCTAAATCAATTGTCTATAAATAATAACAAAGAGGTCTAAGTAGAAGACAATCACATTTTAAAGTCCAAGGAGCCGATGCCCACATATGTGGACACAGGGCCCTAGGAGGTTAAATAAAAAGAATCAAACAAACATGCTTTATTAACCTATTATGGACTAATGTTGCTAATAATGATCAAATTACTTCTGGGCCTAAAGATTCTAAATAGAATGGAATGGAATGGAATAGAATAGAATAGAATAGAATAGAATAGAATAGAATAGAATATAAATGCTATCCCATTATTGTCCCTTAGCTGGGACATTTTGGTGTCACAGTAGAAAATCAGATTTCCAACATGCAGGAGCAAAGACGAATAAAGAACAAAAGGCTGTACAGTTAAACAAAAACACGTAATGCAAAAAATAATTAAAGGATTAATGAAATTTAGCACATAAATAAATAAAAAACAGCAAAAACACTAACAGAATATTTATAGAGATTTTGGAGTACTAGGATTAGAGTTTTCATCATAAACCTGACATAACCAGTCCTTTACATGTCTACTGTCCTCTGCTGGAGGATCTAAAGGTGGAAAGAGACGATTTTACTTCTTTATTACTGTTATTACCTGATGAAATAAAACAGATTATTATTATATAGCTGTTTAAAGGTGTGGTTGACTGAGAAAACATATTTTAATGATTATTTCTGAAATTTTCATGCAGACTTAACATGGAAACAGTCTTCTCCACCTATCTCCTGAGTTAGCTTCTGATAGAGAAAATAAACGGTAAAATGCTAGGATCTGAAGATCCTCACATAGCTCTGTCACACTGTGATTTTACATGCATGGCCTCGCCCATCTTGGCTTGCTGTGCCCGCCCACAGGAGGGCTTCTTTAAAAATGTTTTGCAGCGAGGAGAGAGCAGAGAGTGTTTAGTGATGGTGACTTAGCAACATTGGATGCATTCTGTTAGCCAATCAGAAGTGAGGTGTGTGCATATCAATAATAATAATTAATAATCCTGCCGTCTTCAGCTCACCTCTGCACCAGAAAACGTCTGCATTTGAGAACAGGTGCATCATACATGGCATTGATTTAGACTAGAACATTGCAAATGTATGGAATAAATAAGTAAACCACACCTTTAATAAACATTAGACACAAATTTAAGGTTTTCATTCAAATTTGCTTCATTGTCAGCTGCAAAAACTCAAGATAACAACTTCTAGATGCTGAACTTGCTTCAAGCAGCTGTCCACAAACCAGTGGGCGATAGTTTAAACACTCAAGGATATGTTTTAGTTCATGGCTGAAACAATAAAAGTAATCAGAGTAATAATGTCTAGGCTAGGTCTACTGATCAACAGTCCTCTGTTTTGGAATACCTTCAAAAAAGTGTGTGTGGTATGGTGTGTGTGGTGTGTGTGTGTGATACCTGAAAATGAAGCTAAATCAAATCCACAGTCACATAACCATATCATCTAATTCTGAGGATAATTACACTCTGGATCCTGTTACTTTATCAGGACGACGGTACAGAAGCAAATCCATCAGGCTTTGTTCTGGATGAAATTGGACTGATTGATTTATGTGTGTCAAGTGAAGGGCAAAGAGACGGGCACAAAGAAACGACAGCAAGTGAGAGTGGGGGGGTGGGTGGGGGGGCTGCAAATATATGGATGTACAGTAGCACGGCCCCCTGATGGGGGGAGGAGAGTCTCTGATCAGACAGAGACAAATGGAGTGTGAGAGACGGCGAGAAAGAAATTTAGACATATGCCTGCTGACCTCAACTCTTTTTGTCCAACTGATCAATACAGGGAAAAGCGTGTGTGTGTGTGTGTGTGTGTGTGTGTGTGTGCGTGCGTGCGTGCGTGCGTGCGTGCGTGTGTGTGTGTGTGTGTGTGTGTGTGTGTGTGTGTGTGTGTGTGTGTGTGTGTGCCACTCCCGATAAACGTTGTAATGACAGTGACATTACTGCCGTCGTGCCTTGCTCCAGCCTGGATCTCAAACCTTTGCTTGTGTCTCTATTAAATTTTGGTCCCTGTAATCTCATCAGAGACTAAGAGGTCTGCAGACCCCAGATTGTCCTCTTCATTGAGTTTGCTGAGGAAAATGTGGGACAACATCACCTCTCTTCGAAACAACTTCCTTCAGTCACTCGAGCCACAAATGCTGTTGTGCCAATTCATTCCCATTTGTTCAATTTAACAATCAATCCAGAGGATAAGTAAAAAAACAGAAATCAGTGGCAGCTTATCAGTGATCACACAAAAATGCACCTCGCTAGACAGTTTATATAAAAAGATTCCTTTGACAGATACCTGCTGCAAACTGACAGTATATTTTTGCAGTAAAAAATCACACAAACAGTTCTTTATTTAACTGATATGAGTCATAATCAGCTATAAATGCACCCCTATCAGCCCTGCATGCTGTTAAAATAAGGGGGAGAAATCCACACACACTTTCAGCCAACTAGAAGAACCACAGTGTGACACATCTCAGAGCTTCAGTGAATAACGACCAGCTGGTCTGCAGACGGGAGCAGCTCTGCAGGTCAAAACCAAACCTGGGAGTGTGTAGCGCTCACACCAGCGGGTCACCTGAGAACAC